TGCGATACATTAGACAGTTAATTGTAGGAAAGCACCTTACAAAAGAGAAAAAAATTGGCCTGTTTTGAAAACATTTTTTAGAGTAAATAATGTACAGTATACAGTACTTGTATTTGCTGTACAGTATAACTGTATAAGATGTATTTTGTCTTTATGCGGATGGAAACAGCTCAATTTGTTAAAGATAGGTAAAAATTGTGAGAAGTACTGTATCTTTGGTTTTTCTTTAAATGATGGCAGTGTCTGAATCTTGAGACATTGCCCATGTATATACGTTGAGGAAGATTTTTAAATTAAAATAGGTGTCCAGCACAAGTCAAATTGCCCGCATGTTGGGGGTTTATATTTGTAGAAACCCTTCTCTCACATGTTTAAAAAAATATTCTCATTTAAATGCAATGGCACATCATACTCTGAAGACTATATGGTAAACAGATACTGTATATATATATATATATATATATATATATATGGTGGATCATAATTTTAAAGGGTTGAAATGTTCAGCAAACGAGTTCAACTTCTCAAGAGGAAGCAGGAAGTGCTGAAGATTCAAAGAGCCGCTGTCAACCTGAATAACATCTAAGATTAAAGTGTATACGGTAGAGTCCTCATCTATGTACAGTACTCTAACAGCATAATGAATGATTGAAAACAAGATTTTCTGAAACCATTACATTCTGTAAGCGCACAATCGAAAAAAACGACAGTAGAATTCCAATACTTGCCTGATCATGAATGTTGGTTTGCACCTGAATTGCATGAACAGTACAATAAATCAGGTGTAGTGCAGTAAAATACAGTAGATCGTATACGAGGGTTCTAACAATAGTTCTCAGAATGAAAATGAAAATGGCGTCTAATCGAGCTGAAAAAAATTATTATTTAGGGGAAACATATTCTTTGGCACAAAAAAAATCAGCCCTGTTTGACAATTCTTTTGAACGTTTTGTAAAATTCACCCTGGCAGAGTTTTGCTATCCACTCAACAGATGAGGCACCCTTCCTGCAGTTTTTTTTTTTTTTTTTTTAGCCCAGCTTTCCCCTCAGAATTATTGAAATCAATGTGACATTAATACCAAGGGTTGCCCCAGGTCTTCCAAGGTAATTCCGCCATTTTCATCAACAGCTGCCAAAGTGGGCCACTTTGGCGGCTGAGGGCTGATTTTTTTTGTTTGCCAAAGAATAATTTTTTTTCCAGCTCGATTAGACGCCATTTTCATTCCGAGAACTTTTGTTAGAACCCTCGTATATGCCCAGTTTGAGGCGTTGCTCTATGGTGTTGTCGATTAAGCTCTGTGATGTTAAAGATGCACTTTGTGTGCAGTAGCATTCCTATGTGTGACATCAGTCACATCACATAGCATGGTTCCCGGACGATAATCAAGTGTTGTTTTGTACCTCAAAGTGAACTTGCATCAAGCCCTGCGACATGAACAACTGTCGGGAGAAGCTGTCAGAAATACTTTTTTTTTTATTCTGCAATGCTTCCTCCGCGTCGATGACGTTCCAGCAGTTGATCCGTAAGATAGGTAGGTCGATCTAATTCTGCGTAACCCCGGATTCTACTCGTGAAACGTAACGGGAATCCAGAAACAGAGCAGACGTGGCAAATTTCAGTGGATTGAAATGAATAGCCCGGTAAAATTTCGGGCGCCTGATCTGTTCAACTTCTACGATGTCTTCGCGACGATCTGTCAGCCTCTTCCCGGGTGGAGCAGGAAAACCAACCGGTTTTTCAGGCCTTGCTTCAGGGCCTAATTGACCTGCGCGGGCACAGGAATTGCCAGTTAGGCAATATCGCATCGAATATTATCTCCCGGTCGACAGTTTACGACTACGAAAAACTGGAATCAGAAGGCGTTTTGTGACTCAAACTCGCTTGGAAAACTGTACATTTGTCGGAGCATGACCTTCAGCAGTGCGCTCGCTTCCGGATCGTGATGCTTATGTCTCCCGCGATGATATGATTTCCCGATACTGTAAATGTGAGTGACTTCGGAAGTGAATTGACGATCCGCGTTTTGCCCAGCGTGATGGTTCACGTGCTTAGAGAACGAAAAAAATGTACAATTGGAAGAGATTGCGAAAAACGTCGTTGACGTTAAACTGTATACAGCTAGGATGAGATGGGTTTTCTCATCGCTGTGCGTGTTGCGTTACTTGCGTACAATATTCTGGTTTGCAAGAGATCCTAGTGTTCGAGTACCAGCTGCTATAATTGTACCCAATAACCGTGACGCTGATTGAGAAGCGCTGTATGCGCCGCGGAAAGTGAATTTTGTTCCATCACGTACGTGCAGTCCTGAGTCCTCCTTGAGAGTCGACATCGACGACCGCTGCCCTGATCACCGGGCGTCCTTGAGATTCTTGTACAGTATATGGCTACAGCACTGACGAAGAGATAAGTGTTCTGGGGCGACTGACACCCAAAAAAATTTTTTCCACCTCGTATCCGAGGCTAAATTTAGAAGAGCCCGGCGGTTTCGTGAGAAACTCTTCCGCGTTGCGAGGGTCCAGATGGATTTCCGTAATGAACGGCCAGTGTTGGTTCTCGGCATGCCGTCAGCAGCGTGTGTTCAGTATGTGTGTTTTGTGTAGATCTGGACAGGGAATACAGCACATTTATTGCTTCCCTGGTTCATGAAAAGTGGGGATTCAATCATCAACGTTTCATGTTGGGATGCAGCTGTATTTGTGCACACTGCGTATCGTGTATATATATATATATATATATATATATAGTAGCAGTATCGTACGTGCTGGAACCTGTAGTGTTTTACAGTATCTTCGTATTCACAATTATTTATTTAATTGTTAAAAACATAATTACGGCAAATAATTATATTTTTTACTTTTATGGTTTTCTGGTTGGTTTTACTTCCAAGTGTTCGCTCTTCGGGGTCAGTTCAGCTGGTACGTCTCATATATACATGAGCTGTATAAGGTTGAATATGTTGCTGAGATCCTTGGAATGTGCTAAGATGGATTTAAAGAAGGAAAGCCCACTCTGAGGCCTAGCATCTGCTCGAACACAGTACAGTATTGTAGGTGGTGTCGACTTTTCAAGGAATGCAGACGCCAATGAGCAATCTTATCGTACCCGCCATCAAAGGATCGAGGTATTCAGAAATTTCTAGCATAGTTTATTGAAGGTTTAGCGATTTTGATAACCTTAACAATAAGTTCAAGATTTTGAAACCGTGAAATAATCTAGGGAAGCTGTTCTCTTTTGGCATCCTATAATGCAGCAGCACTGTAAAATGTTTCTTGATCAACTATACTGTGAAACATCTTCAAGAGGTACCGCAGCAAAAAGATATTTGAGTTATGGGAAGGTTAGGGAAACAAGAATTTTTCCTAGGGAAAACAAAGATTTGCATAACATTGGAATTGGTGATATGCTGGGCCTTGAATTGCCTCTTGAAGAGGTTGACAGGATGCTGAACACTGAGGCAATGGTTAATTTTTGCTCAATATGTTTTCAACTTCCTTTCAAAAATAATCAAGTTACATTTGTGTTGATTTTCTCTTCCCTATGTCAATAAAATATTAGCCAAAACAACCCAAAAAAAGCAAGTTATTCTGGAGGTTTGAGGAGGATGAGAACCTTTGAGTTGGGGAAGTTCTTAATGCATTCTTTCTGAGGGAATTCAGAAGGGACTTGAATACCTTCATGCATTGAATTTGTTTTTCTTCAACCTGAGGAGATTCAAAGTTCAACTTTAGAGTACTGTAAATCCTTTCCACTTTTTATTGGAACATATTTTCCCAGCTTATGTTTGTAGGAATGAAGAGTATGGTTTCTGAAGCCTGGGAAATTTGAAGAATTGGTTTGTTGAGCAACATTATACTCATATACTGTATACCAAGAAGCATAGTGACCAAGTAAAGTATACCAATTTTTTATTCACATAAGCTCAGGACCAAATTGAGCTGTGGAATGAGAAAAACATCCAATTAAAGCTTGTTCAATTCTCTTTTGAAGGACGTGCAGTTCTATGCCTCAAGTATCACAGCATGGTCACTATAGAACCAACTCCTTCCCTCCTTGAGCTGCTGCTGTTCTCCAGAAGTTTTTTCAAAGGGATAAATGAAGTGTAGGACCAGTAATTCAGCCAGCAAAATTCATGCTGCCCTGACAAGGGTGCACACATGCCCAAAATTGTGGTGGTGGGGTGAGAAGTGCAAAAATAATTGAGCAGAAGGATGTTGGACCACTCTCAAATCATGCTTGCTGGGTGCTAGCTTCATGGCTCCTGAGACCCCTAGTGTGACAATTTGTTCAGGATGACATGCTGGATTGCTGAAATTCGGTTTCACTCATATTGATCTTCACAGCCAGCCAGCACTTCTGTTATCATTCAAGGTTTCAGTTATTTCCCAGTTCCTGGTCATCACAAGCTGAATTCCTTTTAAAACACAATGTCATCTAAATATAAGAAAGAAAATTCCTTGCTACATATAAAAATGCATCATGTTGAATACACATCCCCTGACCTTTGTGTTCAAACCAATTTGAAGCAATTCAGTTGTCCAGAAAAAATTTGCATGCAGGGGATCACTGCAGCAATGAGGTTAGCACATGGAACAAGCATTGGGATTTGGGAGTAGGGCAACATCCCACTCCTCATCTACTTCTGCACTTCTCACCTCCTCCTTCATAATCCTGGGAATGTGTGCACCCTTACCAGGGCAGCATGAAGTTTGCTGGTTAAATTGATGGTCCTGCACCCCATTTATCTCTGAAAACATGCCTGGAGAACAGCAGCAGTTCAAGAAGGGAAGTAGTTGGTTCTTGTGACCATGCTGTGGTACTTACGTCATAAATCTACAAGTCATTTGAAGGGGAATTGAACAAACTTTCATTTGGTGTTTTTCTCATTCCTCAGCTCAATTTGCTACTGAGCTGATGTAAGTAAAACTTGCTTCACTTTTTTCCAGCCCAATCCGTATAGAAAAACTTGACAGCTACTCTCAAAATATTACTAACAGTCAGATAGTTCCAAACATTTTATTGCAATAAAAAACAAGGGAACATCAACAATCCAACAGATTCGGTAGATTTACGCGTGTTCAGGACTAGCAGCAGTAACATGTTCCATGCATTTCTTCAAAACAAATCCTAAATCTGCGTTTCCATCACAAATTTTAAAAAAGCAGCGCGTCGAGGGAAAAATTGCACGGAAGCAGTCAATGATGATTGCACAATCAATATCGAAATGGAACACCGAATAAAAACACGACAGTTTCACATGGAGTAATAACATCAAACTAAGTCCAGACACAAAATCAGACATGAGATTTTAGGGGCAGTGATTACTATTACGAGCCAGTGGCTTCGGACCTCCGAGGGAAGACCGCAGAAAGGAAGTGATTAGTACCCAGTCCCTCGCCCAAATCCGCGATCAAATCAGCCACGTCATTCGCCCAATCCGCACAATAACTTCTCATCAACAAGGATTCGTGCTCTGCGGGATCCAATTCTGTCGGCAGTATCTTCTTCATGTCCAATGGGGCAAGCTTCGTAGACAGGTACGTCAGTAATTCTACGTAAACAAGGGAACAAAATTTAATTGAAAAACTCTGAATCGAATTCAAACTTTTCCATTCATAGTTAAGTACCTTTCAAACTCTCTTGCAACACGTGCTTCACCTCTTCGTCGTCCTCCCCGCGGTATTTCACGAACAAAGTCATCGTAGTATCCTTCCAAACGCTCACAGGGACCTCTGGATTCGCCTGACGTGGAGATCAGACGAATAATACAATTGAAAGAGGATTCATACGGGGGAAGAGAATTGATTGATGACAACGAGTGTGCGCAGTTTACAAAGCTTACCACAGCATAAGCAGCCAATGCAAGTGGCGCATGAACAGCCAGCATAGCTACGGCCAAAGCTGGATGTGAACAGCTTATCTGCAAGCTGATCCGTCCTTTCGATTCCAGAATGTCTGAAGCACGTTCTTTCACCAAATTCTTGTCCTCTTCGCTAATCAGCTTACTCCACAGAAGAGACTGAAAAGTCATTAAAATAATTATACACTTCCTGGCCATCCTATAAATTTCTTTTTTACTGATTAAATTTTTTTTAAATGGGATCATTTGTGATACTTGATTTTCCAAACCAAGACACCCAGTCTTCAGTCCAGAATACCTGTATTACTTGACTGTACTATATTAATTGAGGGGTTACATGAAAAAATCCCGCAACAAGAATTCAAGCACCACAAAACGCCTCTTCTAGAAACCGAAGTAGGCGACGGTGTGTAGACAAATTCAGCATCATTAACACAAGAACAATCAAAACACAAAAAAACCCCAATAGAACAGAAATTCTATTAACAATTTGTGAAAGAGTGCCTTTCAGATTTATTTCAAACCTTTTTGGAAGTTCAGGATTACCTCTCTCAAAAGCCTGAGAAAGATGCAGCCTTTGTTCTGAGCTTCAATCTCTGCATGGCCGTTGAGTATAAATAAACTGCGCATTTTTCTACAGATTTTTGTACTCAGCGAGATTTTCGAGCCAAAAGAAAATTTTCTTTCGCACCTTCGTAAAAAAATTTAATTTTAATTTCAGATTAGATAACAGAAGAATCATACTATATCGGAAGTCGAGTTGGGCGAAGTACTCGGAAACCCACGTCAGAAAAAACTGAACGTACGGTGTAAGCTATGCGGGAATTTTTCAATAAGTTTTCATTTGTCGTTTTGCTCAGTCGAGTAACATGTCTTTTCATGACACGGACACAGAAGCTTCCGTTTGACTGAATGATTCAAAAGAATAAAATAAATACTGTACCTGAAGCCCCAGTAACTGCGCATTACACGAAAAACACGGACACGAGGAATCCGCATCGTCCGATTTCTTTTCCCCACTGCTATCCCCAGTCCCTCGACTGGTACTAGTGTCCTCCTCGTCGTCACCCTCACGGACCCGAGCCGTCGGGGAGGCTCGCCTCAAATCTTTCAAGGCCTTTTTGGCTTCGAAATCATCCAGAATACAGGTTTCAGATACGTGGGAAGTCACGTCAAACGGAGGCAAGAAGTCCAGAAATGCTGGACGCGAACCAAAAAGTGTTTTCTTGTGGCGGTTGACTGAACAACGTGCAACTTCCGTGGGTGGGCTTTGCTTTTCGCAGCACAGGTGGTCCAAGTACCGAGTGATGAGCCACTGCAAGTAGTCCTTCTCGACACCGATCGGAATATGACTGGGAACAATCAAGACTACGTTATAACTCGGAAATTACGATACTGTATTCTCAAGGGAGTTCAAATACTATATCCAATTTGCATCGTGAATAAAAATAAAAAAGATTTCATTTTTTGATTTTTCTCAGCACAATGGCGGAATTTTTTCAAGAGTGAACAAATGTACTGGTAGTCCAAATACATTTTTTTTTTAAACCCCGAACTGTGTTTTCTCAAGTTTCATCTGCTTCCTGATAACTCTCGAAAGCGAAGAACCATTTCCACAATAGAATAGGCCAGAAGATAAGAGTTTTCATCCACGACCGCCGAACGCATTAAACAACATGCAATACCACTACGGAGTAACTATTCGGACATCTTGTTAGAGAAAGAGAAAACTCACCAATGATGTGCAGCAGTTTTAAAGTACATCTCCAGATACTCCTGCGGGGAAGCCAGATACTGTCCTACGTTCGTGGTTGAAATTCCCCACGGAATCGTGGAATCATCTTGCGCGAGTAAATTCAAACATCCAAACATCTTCGGAACAAGGTTGCCTTTTGAGAACCCTATTCGGATCAGCGACTGGTACAGCAACGACGGCTGAATGATAATCAAAACTTTGAGCAGTAACGTCGGGCGGAATTCGTTGCCCAATTTCCTGAACAAGAAGTGGGGATTCTTCGTCAAAGTTCCTATCAGACGGGTGGTGGATGGGATCCCGAGCATTTTTTCCGCTTGGGCTTCCCGGCCAGTCAACAGCAAGAGCAGCGCAGCTGCCAAGACCTCGGTTACTGAACATTCCTTCAGCTTCGCCACCTAAAAGGAAACATTCTTCTAAATGATTAAATTTTGAACACAGTTGAAATCTTTCATAGCTCATATTTTGAAGGTAAAAACAAGTAAGAAAGTAGACCAATATTCGACAGATTTCCACTCCTGAAAAATAAGCCATACATTTGGAACTGTCAGCAGACCTCGGCTTCGTGACAACACGTCTAAACGGAGCACAAATGATTGAAGTACCTATCCACAATCGTTAAAAAATAGAGTTGGACAAAAAATATATATATATTTAAAATATATATACTGTATATGTATATTAAAAAAAATATATATACATATACACAGTATATATATATTTCTTTAAATATATATATACTGTAAATATATATATTTTTTTTTACAGTGGGGCCTACTCTAGAAATACTCAAGGCCAATCAGAAGTGGGACAACCCTCGTATAGCGGCGAGAGCGACTACTGCCGCATTCCATAAAATAAACAATTCATTAACACAAAAAGTAAATAACTCAACAAAAAATAAAGGTCACTCTTGGAAGAAAACGCTGTCGAAAACTTCATTCCCCTCTTTCGATCTTAGTGTACGGGGAACGTACCTGAACAGTTAACGCATCCATAACTTTCCCCAAGCGTTCGGTCTTGCCATCGCCAAGCAAAGCAGGACACGAAAGGATAGCTTCCGAAAGCTTCCAGGAACCCGCGCGGGAATACACCTTCAGCGCTGCTTCCACGTCATCCCACACAAGAACCTCCGTCAACCTCGCCAACCCCGTCGGGAGGAATAAATCGTCCATTAACCTCAGGGCGAGGTCGTCCAAAGATACTGTATCCGCAGGGTGTTGAGCACAGCGAGCCTCAATCCGTTCCAACAACGGTTTCGGACGCATTCCGGACATCTTGAGATAACAGAACGATGCTTCTGGATCATCTTCGAGGGAAGCCCACGCCAGGCGACAACAGGATTCCGCCCAAAGATCGAATATCGGGCTTGGAAGACGTGATAGAATCGTTGCGGACAAGGAACCTCGTCGTTTAGATGTGTAACTCGACCTGTCAAGATGACGAAAATGAAAAACGCATTTCCAATGTTGAAATAAAATGTCCTCCGCAGTGAAAAATAATTTCAGACATCATCTCTCTTCTTCTTTCAGCGGATCGAGTTTCTCTCCGGTTGAACAGGTGTCGCCGCTATTTTGATGCGTTTCATTCTTTTAAATAGCTGAATCAAATTAAAGTTGATTCAATCACACAAACATCTCTTTTTATTTCAAAGTAGTCGAGCCTTACCTAAATCATACAGAAGAGGTCCACTAGTCTTGAAAATATTCAATTATGGAGTTCAAAAAAATTAAAATTTCCTCGTCGTTGGGGCTTTCACGTTGAGGAATGAAAAAATCCATCTGCTTTTCGCAAGACGAATTTTCTTCATATAAAATTATAGCATGATCAGAATTACAGGTACCTCGCCATTATCCCGAGCCAACCGAGAGTCACGTGGCCTTCACGCACCAATTCCTTCGCAAGGTCGGAATCATCATCCTTTTGGGTACGAATGGCATCCTTCAGGTCATCACACAGCATCTTGACACCAGGAAGCTCCAAGACATACATGGTCCATTTCTCTGCAGAATCTTCCAAATCCTCCCTGGTTATAACGAGTTCAATATGAATACTAACCCAATCGTTTCCGAACAAGAACCTTCCCTCGTCAATTCAAGACAGACTTAAGAATCAGATTTAATTTACATCTAGAGAAACTCGCGTTTCTCTCATTATTCATGTAGATTTAAGCGAACCGAAAAAGGTCAACCTCACGATATTAAGTTCTTCTCACCATTGTTGTTTGTTAGCAGTATCCGACACTGACGTGAGAACCAAGAAGCTTTTGTCCGGGGAAACTGGACAAGCGATCAAACGGCCAACTTGTAAGAACGGGTGCAATCCGAGAAGATGAATGGTATCATCAGGATTGGGCCCCCAACAATTCTGAAATATTTAATGAATTCTTATGACGCACAAAAACGAAGAATAAAATGTCTTCGTCTCGCCCAATAAAAAAAAACACCTGATGTCAAATGTTCGACTTTAAAGTTTAAACTCGATCAAACTTTAAATGAAATACCGAAAATTCGACTAAAATTACTTTACTAGATAAACTGACGATGAATATAAATTTAATTCAGCCGTTTTTGCATTTCAAGAAGCCGAACGTCATGCGAACGTATGCGTCACTGGAGGCTGATTCTTCTCGCTTAATAAAAACTATGGACTACATGTCAAGCAGGTGTCGCCCTGAGTACATAGAAATTGCCAGAAGCTGACCTGAACCTAAGTGACCAGATTTAGAACAACCGAACAAAAATGTTGGCGACATCTGCACCATGGCGAAGAAAATCGTGAGTTCGAAAATACTGTATCGGATGATTACTGTCATTGAAAAGATTTGNGGGACTCTGCCGTGAGGATTCAATTTCTTCACATCTTCAATAATTCCTTCAGGCCCAGAACCCATGAGCCAGACATAGAAATGCGCTTCTTGCTCGTAGCACACAGCGAACTCCATCCCGATCAGCGAAGACAGTTCATCACTCGTCAGTGTCAAAAAATCCGCTTTCTCTTCGCTGTTCTTATCCGTCTCTGCGACTTTGCCTTCAAAGAGCAAGTTGTGGTAGCCAGGAATATACGTCGAACGCAGTATTATGTCCCGAATGGAACGATCATCCTCTTCTTCTGCTTTATCCCAGCCGGGGTCTCCCCCATTTACAGGAGTGACGGCCGGGGAAGTAACGGGGCCGATTCGCACCAGGGTTGTCACGTGTACCCGAATTTCCTCAGCCTCTGCCTCTTCGGCAAACTCTCCCACCAAAGTCACCATCGGCTGTTGGAATGCAAAATTACTGGCTTTTCTTCAGGCAATTTAATCCAGATGACCCATGCGGTAAATAAATGAATGAATACAGGGTCGTCTGGTTCATAGATCGGACAGTTGTGAGTCTTCCATGAATAATTCATAAATACAAAATGACCGTATTTCCGCAACATGAGATATCGTAAATTCGAAGATATATTTTGAATTGTCCAGCCCTACCTACCATGATTGAAGAAAAGTTTGATAGTGAATTCAAGACACACTCCTACTTGCTTCATAATAACGCCAGAAACTCAGATTAGATCAAGAAGTGGACGAAGTCCTGAATGACAATATCACCTCGAAGTCTACACAATTCTCATTTAAAGAAAAAGTAAATATATAGGAGTATATGAGGCCAACATTGATTTTTTATACAATTAACCTTGCGAGAAATACTATGTACACATTTGAAAACCTAATCTGAGCAGTCGTGAAGATGTTTTTCAACATTCGGACTTCGCTTGGTCAATTCTCTGCATTCAGATGAAGTTTTCCATTCAACTCCTCAACCCAGTGGCAGAAAAAAACTGAATGAGATATCGTTAATTTTCTTTTCTGGACCACACAATAAATTAAATTTTCGCTTAATTTATGGTGTGGGTGAATGAAAAACGCCAATTCTAAGACGCGCCTGCATTATTCGTGGAATAAAATCGTTGCTAGTGGTCTCATACTGGGTTAAATACGACAATGCGAGATCGATTTTTCTGTCAGTGTAACAATTTCTGAATCATTCAGACAAACATTTCAGAACTCACACTAAAGAACTCACGTTGTTGGGATCAATTATGGGACCAATTATTTCCGGGGATTGCGCGATCGCGTCCGCAGTAGGCTCAAAGGCAGCGTCGGTCGCCCACCACGATTCATGCCACGGAATTCGCGAAAAGTTATTGCCGAACAGAGTATTGTTTTGTCCTTGCAAAACTGCCTCATTCGCCACATCGAGGGCATGTCTTCCACCAGGAGTCGACATCATGCTGCAATCAATCACGATTTCCCGATTCGCGTCCGTGTTTTTCACTTCCGTTAGCAAGTCCCGACAAATGGAGCAGTTCCTCTCAATCAGTACATCTGTGCGGTGGAGAATTGATTACAAGAAAACGGTTAAGGCATCAATGAACGCAACGCAAAATACTGTATCGGACTTACTGGATTCTTGACGCTCATGAGACAATTCATTCTGAGGTGGGTCAACACGGGCAACGACTGAAATCTGGAATTTCCACAAAGAGTAGTTCTTAATATCTATCAATGGATGTAAGCACCATCAGTGAACTTTCCGTACGTTCTATTTTAATTTAGAGAAAGCAAATTAAAAACTAAATACCACTGCTGCTTGACCAGACGTCAATCAGAAAAAAAGTTAAACCCGTTTCTTTTCCGCTCAAGTGCTGATAAAAATTAATTTTCGCATTACTTGAACTAGGCAGTTTGCCACAAAAAAGATGCATGTAATTTCTCCAAAATAAATATCATGCGTAAAATCCACTAGATCTCGTATGCATAACGGAATAACTGATCTCCATCAAGCCTAATGCAGTATTAGTAATCCACAAAGCATTTTGAACACAAATAATTTCGTAATACAGGTATTTTCTAAATTATTGACAAATTTTAAAATTCAAAAACGAGAAAAAACGGCCAATTGCCAACAACGTTCTCAGATAAAGTCAACGCAATCAAGCCTAGCGGTAGCCCAATCACAATTTCTTCGAGGAATTACATGCGAAGCCCAAAAAAAAAAATATATGCTTCAGAGGCTAGAGCTGTTGCGATCATGTGTTGAAAATGAATTAATGTAGATAGTAAATCATTTTTTTTTTCGAAAACTACTAGAAAATCCAGAAACACTATTGAAAAAAGAAATTGAATACTTTTAAAGCACAAAAAAAAAACGAAGTGGAACACTTTGGAGCAGGTGTAAAACCGTACCTGGAAGACATGCACAAAGGTAGACGACATACAAGCCATGACGTTTTCCCTCAGCAGTATCTTTTTGGGTGCAAAATTCGGCACAACGTTTAGAAAATACACAAAATCCAAGAAAGCGTAATTTGCTGCGGAGTCCCATACACGCTTCATTTTGAACACAGCCACGTGAGTGCGATACGCAGCAGCTATGTTTCCTGTAGCCGGACACGTGGAAAAGGTTGTCACTGATTCTCCTGCTCTCGGAAGTTCAATTACTTCCAGTTCCGGACTACGCGAGTGGGCCCGGTTAGGACTTCGTCCATCATAAGCCACACAAGACGCTCCGTCGAACTGGATCTCGGGACTGTCATCCCATGAAGCATATACTCTGACGCACGATTTGGTCTCGCTGTCTTCATTGCTCACGGACTCCAAGGTAGCCAAGTATTTTCCTTCACGAAAATTAATAAGCAGTGGTAATGATATCAACGTCTGAAGTCCAGTTATTCCATTTAAATCGCTAGGCATCTCCTGCTTGTCCCAGAAAATTTTTGCAGCAATTAGTAGACACAAAATTACCAATAAAATTAAGAAATTCCTAAGCGAAACCGCAGTGATTTCTTGAACTTCTAACACTACCAACAAAAATTCTTCGAAGAACACATCTCGTGGGATTTTTGTAACCGATTGAAACCATATAATACCTATACTATACTAAGTTATTCTGGGCATATCCCAATCCATTATTGATGCGTTCGTAGGCCACCCTTTTTCTCCCCTAAAAAGGGCTGGAAAATTCGAGAGCGTCCGATAATCGAGGATGCGTCCGAGTGAAAAATTCGTAAATAGCTTAGACCAATGCAGTACAGTATTCGAATTCAAGAGGAGGAAAGGATATTAAGAGCAAGAAAAATTGGGCAGGCTGAAATCCTGTCGTGGGAAAATAAAGAGAAGAAATTTTCCCTGTTTTACTATTGAATTTGTTCAGCAATGCTAATATTTTAGACGAAATTCTTTAAATTTCAATACTATTTGAAAATCTGACAGCTCAAGGAAAAAAATGTGATTTTGGCGCGGATTTATGCACTCACTAGGAGCAGTGCCCCCTCAAGAGTTAAAATTTTCTGCTTCCTAAGCAGTTTTATTCCCACTCAAACGCTTGTCATCACGTAGGCTACGCACTACAATTTCGTAAATACAGTATTTCATATGCAGTACACGCTTTTCATTACTGTACTCTAGAACTTCACTCGAGCCATCACCTGACACGAACGCTATCGATTGAATAAAAATAAATAAACTTGAATGTGTTGAATAGGTATAATTGTTAACAAACCTTTCTCTGAATAGTCTACTGTTTTAACAGTGCCGACCACTGGAAAAGTCGTAAATCGTTTCAATTTCGGAGTGAGATCCCAGATTTCAAGTTTCCAGGGAAAAGCGAGACACAGCCGTCCCGGCGGAATGTGACACAGTCCGACAATAAAGCCATCGCCACCTTCTACCCGCTGCGACGCGAAGTGAAAACAGCTGATCACACGAACCATTTTCTCTGATCGCGAAAAAATATCAAGAAATTTGAGAAAGCAGTCAGATTAATAAAACTAGAGGACATCGATGCAAAGCAACGAGCGAAGAAAAATGTTTACAAATGAGTCAACACGGGGTCAAACTGAAAAAAATCACACACCATGTATATTCCATAACGAACGCTTAAATTTCTTCCTACTCGAAGAGAACAGCGAGGATTAAATTTCCGCGATTAATCACGGATCAACGAGATGACTCGGAAATCCGCTCAAACACCAAATAAAATCAACCGAAGTAATAGCATCCCTTAAAGAGCGCTCATCGTGATAAGAAAAACACGCTCTTCCATTTCGACCACGAAGTTCCTTTTCATCACAAAATTCGTTCTCTACTTCCTGCGACCTCCTCCGCCTGAAAGGATGGTCACCATCCGGACAAAGATGTTCAGAGTGTCGATGTAAATCCTCATTGCGCTGAAAATACAAAAGCCATTTCGAATAAACCTTTTTGAAAGGTAACATGAACATGTTTCATCGAGTATATGCCAAGTCAAGTCTTGTAAATTGTCGAAGGAAAAATCAAAATTAGAAAATTCACCAACTCTCTGCCGGAGCAAAAAACACACTCACCCAGAAATGGGATCATACGGACGACCATTGACGCCATTGTACGGGTAGGTTTCAGCACTCTTGACGATGTGTTGAGTATCGTACAACAAGAATCCACTGAAAAGAACCAGTCCTCCGTAAAGCGCGATGCTGTAAAGCCCAGCTCCAAACATGGTCGTAGGGGGCAAGAAAAACGTTCCTTGAAACAAGACAAAGGCTTAAAATCAGCAGATGCAACATGTATGAGTCACGAATGTAACACACTAACCAATCGAAGCAGCGAAGACTAAGCCGAAGCCGATAGCCAAGGGTCCGCCCATGTTCAAGAACTTCTCGCTAGGGGCGCATACAGCGACCGTTGACAAGCCTCCCACAATTCCAGCGGTGTACCTGCGAAGACAGAAAATTCAAATCAAATCCACGTGAAAGCGAACAAAACCTCCGAAATGGGTTATACTCTTCGAAAAGATCCAAAAATATCGAGCCTCCCAGAAAATACGATCGGAAATAAACGTAACTTCTACTGAACTGCGACTTAATTTACAATAAGGCAAATTTCCAGGATATGATTTCTTGGATGAACTACTGGGAAAGCTCTATCAAATTACACACTTGAAAATGTGAAAAACTGTGAGAATCAACTCTAATAACCTGAAATGTGGCACACAAAAAAATAAACTGTAGAACAGGTGTCCACAACACAGTATCTCACGTTTAGAATTTAAGTTTAAATTTAGACACCCATAACTCAAAATTCATTTTGAATCATGGGTCATTTTAGAGACGGGATTTTAGTTGCAAGACTCGTCTGATAATTGAACCAGGGAAAATTTAATTAAAAGATCCCATTTGCGGGAAAATACAGTAGATACGATGACTTGTAAAAACTCATGAACGCACCAGGCAGCCCGAATAAGGATGGCGCCACCAACTAATGCCATAGGAGCAATGACCGCACCCATGACACCACAATGTACCAACCAAGCCAATTGCTTAGACCCAAACCCAGGTTCGTACGGTATGCTCCTCGCCACGATTCCGCTTCCAATCATGGCAGCAATCGATGCACCCAATACCTGCACAAAAATAGGCGTTAACAAATTGAAACGATGCAGAAACCTTGGGATAAATTTAATGCAATTTATCTCACCACCCAGGAATTGCGAGAGACCAGTCGCATCACTGTGGGCGACCTTAGGCAAGCAGCAGCTGAAGCTGCGGTAGCAACCACACTTCCACCGACGTACATGTATGTGGTTTGGATCCTCTCCTTCACATATTGAGGCCATAAGCTAGGGGACAACCATTTTGATCAATATTCTTCGTCAAAAAATGTGTTTGAAAAAGTACTGAATAAAAGCTGGAAGAAAATGTTCATCATATCGTTCTGCATCCTGAATATCAATGCAGGTACTGTATATACAGTACAATAATCCACAATCTACACTACTGTATAACGATACAGTAATTGAGAATCAAATAATAAATCAATACTGTATAAAAAAATTTTCGTAGTAGAGGAGCACAAGGACCATGCATTTTTCGGAACAAAACCAAGTTCTTGAAGCTTTTAAAATTAAAGTTTAACACAAGGCACCTTTCACATGAGAATACGCGACGAACTACTGTTGAAAATAAGCTCATCCGACTGATCCCTCAGTCTTAATTTTTTTAGCATTAAATTATGCTTGTCATCAGACCTGGACACAGAAGTCCTCGAATGCTTTTCATCAGTCCTGAACAAAGTACTTTACAGTACTGTGGTCCTCGAGTATGTTTCTATTTCATGCATCCTAAAATGTAATTCAATTCAATTTCGATTTTCCATGGTGATCACAGAGCTTCTCGAAATTGCAAGCAGTTCACTAATGTTGAAGGACGCTTCGAAGCACAGGTTGGGATCCTACGTTGTGAAAAATTTTTTCAGAGTCTATCTGGAACGTCATAAACTCACTAAGATCTCTCCAAGGCGCCAGTTTCTGAGGAAAGGCCGAGACCATAGTAACAAAGAGCTCCAAGGCCAATGACTCCAGCACCAGCAGCTATACCTTGTCCAATGTTAAATGCTAAAAAATGCAAAACAGAGCTGGTTCACAACACTTGTTATGAGAAAAATAACCAATCAAAACGCGGAAATACGACGTTAAACACACCACACACATATTTTTATAAAAACTCACGCGTTTGGCTTGCCGGGGTCGATACGGTTTCCCTGAGCGTTCTTGTTTTCAGTCGCCTGCCAATTCCGGTTTTCGCATCCTGACCCAACAAACGAATTCCGAAGCGGGCGGGAACCACAGGTGGCATCAATAACTTAGAAAATCCGGCACGGGCGAACGGTGCCAAACGCACCAACTCCATTTTAGTCTTTTTCGCGAAAAATTTAGTCTGCAATCGAACAAACTTAATAATAGTTTGTGGAAGGAAAAAAAAAACGGTTTCATCTCACTGAAACTCTGAATGCCGAAAAAGTCTCCTACCATCGCATTTAGTTCAAATCTTCAAACCATTTACTGAAACTCGTGAGAAGGTGACTTTTTTCGACCCTCGGAAAGGATACTCTCACACTCTCCTAAAATTACTGATGCACGATTCCGATTTCCGAAGTTAGGCTTGTTAGAGATTATAAAGGATAATCCACGCGCTACGACACCCACGAAAGTGAAGTACTTCAGAAGTACATTTCCGGAAGTTTTAATCATGCAACTTTCGTCAAATAAAGCTGATACAATATGAAAAAGAATTGAGAATGACTAACAATACGTGTTCTAAAGAAGGAGAAATATAATTTCAGGTCTAAGCTTTACAGCACCTTGACATCAAGAGGAAATCGGTGGTATTCTCCGGAAAACAACTGGTTTGACTCTATCGTGAAATAGATTAGTAGGAATGAATCACAGGAATACAGAAAAGCACAAAATCGTATTCCTATATTCGCAGGTGCACAGCACTTCTTTTTAGGATGATGCCAGAATTTCCTCTTCTTTCACACAGTCACATATTTTTTAAAACACATGGCATAGCTAAATGTTCACAACTTCCCGGAATACTCGGATTTCTGTGGGCCTCATGGCGCGTGAACCTTCTTTACCTAATCGTGTTACATTAGATAAGGTTATTCTCGAAATCACTCGTAATATTTTATCGCGCATCAGCGATCCAAGGAAAAGCGCGAACATTTCACGACGAAATAATTGAAAATGCACAAAGCGTCACGGCGGATTTATTGGTCTTGGTCACTACCCACTTCGCAAAATTCTTTACAGAACTTTCTCGCGTGAGCAACGGGGACCCAAAACGAACGCGGGGTTTATCCAATCACCCAGCAAAGGAATCATCACATGATCAGCGTTGGATGTATTTTTTCTTTTTATCCCCCTCCTCATAATCAAATCCGAAAAGACGCTTTTACCACGCGACCCGCGTCGCATCACGGATCACTGTTTACGCTTTCTGATCCAGCAGTGGCTTGAGGAACCACGCTTTGCAATCCAGCCGACTTGGTAGATCGACTTCCGGACTCACCGGACAATTCGCACAGCGTCACGGTGTTGCTTCCGGATACCGGGGACCACTTCTCGGCACGCGCTCTCGGTCTATTCCAGTCCACAAAATAAAAAGAAAGAATAGGGAAAAATCGCGCAAGGTAAAAAGGAGGATATACGCGAGGGATCCCCAAAAGAACTGCCAGTTCACGGACGACCATCTGCGGCATCGTACACCCTCCTTGGGAAGATGCAGCATCAAGCAACTTAAAGGCCAAACCTTTCCAAAAAGTCGAACGGCAACAAGGAAAAATTCGGGTTCAACAAAAAGTTAAGAACTGCGGAAGCAGAAAGGAGAAAGCCTGACACACAAGAGAACTTCCATTTGAATCGTTCAATATTACGAAAGCCGCGAAGGACATGGACCAAGAAACTTAAGCGTGTTATTTCAAAAAACAAAAAGCCCTTGAAATACTGATCACCAAAAACCGCAGGGAGTCGTCCAAGAACACAGCCAAGAAGATGACGGGCAAGACTACGACCATCGGATACGCGAGAGAAAAAACATGGGCAAACCGTAGAAAATTATATGCACGCAAAGCACAGAAAAAATATGCCACTCAGCGCTCGTTCATCCTCGAGCGGATACACATCACACAAGGCGAATGAGTTCGGACTAGATGCAAGCATTCCACTTCACGCTATTCGTTTAAAATAGCCCGTTTCAAAAAGCCATTTTGCCGTTCCCGATGCACCTGACAGGCACTCGAACGATCGACTTAAATTCAAGCATCAAACATTTACATCAGCGGGAATGCTAATTGAATTTTTCACATTGAATGGGACCCATACATAATTTTCACGGAACAAAACCTACACCCACGCTCAGGGATACAATCCAAAACCATTTTTTGGGGAATGCGAAAACATCACGCGACAGAGCATTAGTTTTAGCGGCTTTTTGTTTCTTAATAAATGCACGCTGAGGAATTACTTTTCTTCTCAAAACCAGGAGAAGAATGGGCTCCTCGGCTGAAATCGCTGTCTTAATGCATCCTTGATTCTTACAGTCATCGCAGGATCGGGTTCCGTTCTGAACAAATTAAGAAACATAAAACATGAAGTCAATTTTAACCTAAGTTTCGAAAAAAAACCAGTCCAATTTTCTGCAAATTGGCAAAGACAATGTCCGCACTCAATTGAAGAAAAATTGAACACAACACAGCAAAATTGCAATTCGTGACATGCGCGTGATCTCATACGAAATTAGACCAAATTTCGTGAGAGGAAGTCAATACAGTATTCTCAAAATTTCCTCTCTATTCAACTGAAAATTAGTTTTAGAAACATTTTATCTGACACAGGAAAATTACTTCATTAAGTGGTTAACTTCCTAGCACCTCAGTAAGAATAGCTAAATGAATTGCACTGCTATGAAAAATAAAACCTAGATGCAGCAAAAAATCAGCGGGTCGGTAACTTGACACATCTGATCATGTTTTGGCAAGCAAATTTGAACTGCATTTACAAACCTGGATAATATACCGACGAAGTTCTAGCCACGTGTAAAAGAGAAGAAAACTCACCTTTCCACAGTTTGTACAGGCATCTGTACTAGCTGAACTGGGCTCTTCCTTTCTTTTAACGCCGCTCTAAGGTTAAGAACTTGACCACGCAACACAGACATCTGGCGTTCAAATGTATGTCTGTTATAGTCCTTGTCAGTCTAAAAAAAACGAATACTTTGAGTTGACGCAGACGAAGAATTCACTCGTACCAGTAGTACGCGAATTCCAACCTTGAAAAGCCGCTTCAAATCCTCTATTAATTCCTCGGTAAAATTGTCATCATCTAGTTTCGGAAGCAGCAAATCTCTCGTTTCCACACTGAACGGTTCTTTGGCGTACGACAGCCAAGACCAATGATATGGATATGCCCTCCAAGAATCCGGGTGTTTGAACGGAAACGCGAGACCGTGGTCGATCGCAGCTATTTTGATGCTGGCATTGTCGGTCAACACGGACCAACCTGCATTGCCACCGTCAGCACTGATTTCCGTCGGCCCTTTGTCGTAGCGAATGAGCCAATTATCGTTGCCTCGGTCCGTGTTACGTATGATATAATCTAAGCAAACAAGCTTTTCGAACTGCTGTTGGAAATCGCGAGCCAAATTCGGAGGCAGCGGTTCCGTTTCAAAGCGACGCAACCACTCTTCTGCGCCCCTATATTTTTCGACGAACATCTGCAACGAGCCAACTTTCGGCGGCAAGCCAAGGCGGTGGAAATGCTTTCCCACTTTGGGGAACTTTTCGTACACCATCTTCTTCGCCCTACTTTTCTCACGATCTAAACGCATATAATTGAATGAGTCACTAGCGAGTCGCACGACTTTCGTTTTCGGAACTAATCCGAGTCCCAGTTTTTCGTCGACCAGAGATGCCCCAGCTTCGGATAAGTAACCTTGATTCGGCACCAGACAAGACCGTCCGAAGCAACAAGGGCAGCACATTCCTTGGATCCACTTTGTCCATTTTGGATTCAAGCGACCATAAACTTCTTCGTCTTTGGGCTTGAAAACTCCCACAGGTTTCTAAAAAAAAGTGTAACCGACACTAAATTTTTGACGAATCGCACGCTGAAAATTACCCTCTCTCAACTAAAGCAAGTTTAAAAAAAATAAAAGATAATTTCCCATATTTTTCTTACACGAAATAACGCGATATACGCAAGACCGCGAAAGTGCGTGCGGCAAGGTAACTCCAAGTATGTGTCTGATGAATACTTTCTCCTTTCCCCGAGACAAATGAAAAATGGAATACAGTACTTCAATTTTAAATTCAAGAAAAAATACGGCTTTCAGAACTATAACTTCATATGAATTTAAGGACATCACCGCAAATCGTGAATTCTATCCGCCAAGATAAGCAAATACTGCATAAAAATTGTAAAATATGCTTTCATGAATTGAGAATGACTGCGCAAATTTTGGCGCGGATCAGAGTTCCTTGAAGACAGACACCTTGATTTGCTCAAGATTAGTAATTGCATCACTTGATTACGAAGTTGAAGTTTCTCAAGAAGCAGAGTTACAAAATGTTACAAAACAAGCTGGTAAAAAGAACTCACAGCATCCGGATTTTTTGCAAAATAGCTCCCAGAGGTTCCTTGCGAGATCCGTTCCGGGAAAATTCCCGCATCAATAGCCGTTTCAACACTGGCAATCACTTCCGCAAACTCCGGATCATCCGGAAAGTTGTTGTGAAACATTTCCATCTCCATCCTGGCCCCGAGCAAAGGCTGATTCTCTCTAGTCACGCTGTTGCTGCGACGCGACGAGCCAGCAACGTACTGCGAGTCGGCTGCCAAATATCTCAAAGCCCCAGGCTGCTGATACCCGACGTCTGGGACAGTCACTGACGCAGAGGTTGACGAGGATTCATCTGTCGCAACGGAACTACTAGATGAGGGTACCCGCACTCGCCCGGACGGGTCGTCGCCTACAACTATTTCGTCGTCGACAGCGACCAAAATATTCTTCGAGTTCGGCTCCGGCTCCGGCTCCCCGCCACCTGCAGCCGCGCGACCGGACACAATAAACGGAACGGGGTGCGACGACGAACTCATCTTCAAAAGTCCCTCATACACACACACACACTCACGCAACACCCAAACACTGATTCGGCCTCGCAGTAAGAGATGAAAATACTGCGTTGCTCTCGCCTGGCTGAAGAACTGTTCCCACTCCAAAATACATCAAGAAGCCCGAAAAAAACGTTCGAAATAGCAGGCATGCACAACTGCTACGGTCCACAACATTTGAATGTAAATATGTCGGCACATTCAACAGGTGTTGAAGTTTGAACCAAAAACCATGATCAAGTTACTCCACAAAGAAGAGGCTTAGCACACACACAAATGAAATCACCGGTTTATGACATTCCTCACATAACGTCGCAAATTAAAACATTAACCTTCATCCTTTTGTGAAAACTTGATCAAAAACATGAACAAATTAGATCACAAAGAAGACAAGAACACTGAAATTTCAAGCTGAACATTAATTTCCGTAAAATATCAGATTTCGACCTACAGTATTCCTATCCTCAAGTCTCAAATTATAAGTATGTGTATGGGTCGACTAATTTTTAAAGATATACAGCAGAATCTCGGTACAACGAATTCTTCGTTTTACAAGACATTGCCCAGTAGCCAAGAGGTTAAATGACTTACTGGATGATTTTTTTTTTTCACAACGACGAACCTATTTCACTGGTCCTGATGATTTAGTTGAAACGAGATTTTACTGCAGTACAGAATTTGCTGATCGAAAATACTGTAGACGATTTTTATTTCTTAAAATTTATTTTTGTGCATATTCAAATTATTCGGATACTATACGAATATCTTTTGTACTTTTCTGAATGATGAACGTGATCAATTCTTGAAGGAAGCATAACATTTCAGTAGAAACTTCACAATGAAGCATTCGGTCATGACCCGATCACCAAAAATCGCCACCATCGCCTGCAGACTACAAAAATAAAAACAGCAAGAAACTAAATATCCTCTGCGAAGATTGAAATTTACTTTACCGATCACCAATAATGAAAAAGCATCGATGAAAAATTAGAAAAATGCCATTAAGATCGGGTTGAGGTAATTAAAACGAGATACTGTACAACGTTTGGCCCTTGAATTCCAAAAATGCACTTACAGTCAACTCATTTAAAATTACGCAGGAAGCATAACATGTTTTGGTTTTAAAAGCTTACGAAGAAAGTTCCCGCGCAAATGTATACTGATCATTCACAAAATTTCGCACGCGTTACCTGGCATCGATTAAAAAGAAGTGCATCCCTGTATATCAGAATGTCAAAAACAATGCACCGCCTGCTTCACCCCCGGGATACACACACACGAAAATTCCACAACGGAATGGGATTTGTGGAATGATAAGTTTAAAGCGTGCCGCTTCAGTGTGTCACAATTAGCTCTATATCACCTACATCAACACCAATATACGACCACCTGCTCGAAATTAATGTGATGCGATAATGACTTCGGTCCTATTCCCTCATCGTTTCGAACTGATCGCACGTTTTTCCATTCAGAGTTTGCAATGCCATGACTCGTAATGCTAGTTTCCCCTTATTTCTCCGGGACATCGAACGGGAAAGAGCTCTTGTGAAAGTCTTCCGAATCAGTAGCGCCCTCAACGGTTTTCCAATAACACATGAAGTAACAAGAGGACGCTGTCCAGAGCTGAATTCTTAGCACACAATCCCCATGGATGCACAAGTTTGAATTCAAGAGACCTAATCTGACAAATTTTAAAGGTAAAGCCACGCATCACTCCGAAAATCGAGAATTGCATCAACTTTTTCGATCATTTACGGAAAATAGAAACTTGAATACGAGTATTTCACTACCGATTTAATTATAGTGCTAACAACTTCATGAAATAAAACCGTACGTCCTGTCCAAGCGGGTTTCGCATGTAGGGGAAATATTTCTTATACCAACATTTAAAGTGACGGATGACACACTGAAACGACAGGACTTGAAATTAATGGGACGCTTTAATTGAGATTCTAGCGTTTGCTTTCAATCTTCAACACAACGGGACAATACTGAAATGAAAAGTTTTGCTGCTTGCTATAGAAGTTCAATTAGTTCCGCGGGACCGCGAATTTGAAGCGTGTAAAATTTTTAGACGAAGGCGTGAGTATGAATCAAATTGCATTCAACACGAATAATCTTTAAGACTGGCTGGACATGGTGAGTTTCGAACTTCACCCATATTCACTTGCAATATAGTACAGAATTTACTTCTAAAAGAACCAATACACACACCTTACACGTTTACAGTAGTTTAATTAAACCCATTCAATCAAGCTAAGCAAACATAGAAGCATTTTCAAAAACAAAATGAAAGAAATCTTACTTGTACTGTATCGCTAAAAATTGTATCAGCGGGAAATTGAAGTCTCACCGTTAAAAAATTCTGAATTAAATGACGGTGACGGCGAGTCAATGATATCGTAGGTATGATTCCCAAACAGCTCCGGAGGCAAACGCTGCAACCTTCCGACGAAAACCGGTAGAGACGCGTTCATTTATCAAAGCACTTTTGCTGATCAACGCATTCACTCTCACAGAATAATCATGCAAACGTTCGAGTCAAGTACCGTCAAGAACACGATCAAGATTTTTGTCTTCTGAAATTCAAACAGAATCAAATACTGTACACTCAAGGAGCATGGTCAGGTTGAATTTGACAACTGAAAACTCTCGGGAGGATGTCGGAATTCTCGTAACAAGGCGCGAAACCAGCATAACCTCGGAACAGCCACATAACGGCGATCAATGCTAGCGCATTCATGAGCTCAACATAAACACAATCTCCAGGCTAACAAAGAAACAATCACCTGAGAAGAGACTTGGAAATGATTATGCTAACACCAGTCAAAAACAGACCCCAAATGAAAAAATGGGGACTCAGAACAACAACAAAAGAACGTAAAAATTTTAAAATTGACGTCCACACCGGATGAGGTCTTCTTGGATCAGGAATGCGACTCATCTTAGACATAGCTTTCATCTCTCGAGATTCTAGCGTTACCGGAGCCAAGTATTCCTTGCGAGAATCTCTCTTCCACCAATTCTTCAGGTCATTCTTGTTTCTGCAAAGAAAAAAAGAAGTACAGTAATGAAAATGCTGAGTATAAAATTTGTTTATTTTCTTTCAACGCCGAAGAAAACTTCAAGAAAATGCCTTGCGACGAGAAAAACAATTACAATGGAATTACCTGGAATCCAAGCTAGTATAGTGATATAAATACGACGAGATTCGTATCTGCTTTGGAAGCTGCGGTAAGCTGGTTTCATTTGGATGAAGCAGTTGCTCTACATCCTCGCTTCCATCCAGCAGTCTGAACACTAGCGAGTACAGCCATGGATTATGTTCCATGTCTGACAAGGCGGCAAACCACATCTGCCAGTCCAACCTGGGCTGATGAGGAACTAGGAAACAAAGTAATCGGCTATAGTCAACAAACTCAAAAATAAAGCACTAACAGCGCGGTAGAGTACTCAATATCGGCCAATGTTAAGTACTGTACAGTCTTCTAGCTAGCGAGGAAAAACATAGCGTAAGTACTATCCTCCACCTCAAAATAAATCTACGGAATGAAATTCATAATTTCGTAACGGAACCGTTGCCAACAACAAAAAGTCGTGTTCGGGACGTTAAACATATCGTATCAGCATCACAGAAATTGCAATCGATTCATTTGTTTTTCTCAAGATAAAATAGCCTCGCTTTTTATTTCCGAATGCGTAAACCTGCAAACACTTCTCATAGGATTTGAAGATCTTTTGAAAACGACTTTCGTCGGCGAAATTCTAGCGACGTTCACGACCACAGACTGAAAACAAACCATCATTTCCGCGTTCAAGATAAAAAATATTGCTTCAAATATGCATGTGTTTTCTGAACGCAATTCGTTTGACGGCAGGGGATAATTCATTATGTACTGACAACAAGTACAGTATGGTCTTGGGAATTCAGAACGAGTTTCTCTGATGTGCACTTACCAACAAAAGGCGGGGGAACATCAAGCGCACCCGGCTTGTAACGGAACGATACTTCTCGCCAGACAGGTGTAGTCAAACTGTCAGACCGCTCGATAACAATTTCTGGACGACCTCCAACTCCCGTCATCACACGGAAAAGTCCGTAGGAATTGACGATCGAAAACCGATCAACGGCATGATATACATTCTTCACAATTGACGGGAGGCGGCGACTGGTGTTCGGCTCAAAACTCGTGAATGGCACGAAACTTGCGGTAAAGACAAGCGCACACATTCCCCAAATACATGCAAATCGGATTCCAGTCCAAAGTTTTCCAAATGTAGCATAGATCCCTTTGAAGAGCTTGAAAACGAACAAAACTGAGCAAATCCCTAAAACCGCGGGAACAACAGAACCTAACGCCCAGCGCAATTGTCCAGGAGTGAAGGCTATTCGTGATGTGACAACGCCATCCATCAACGAAACGGAAAAAAGTTCAGTAGTGCACAAGTATACTGATGCATATACGAAGATACTGAACACCAAGCTCGAAACGGTGGACAACCAAGATGAACGTCTCCCTTTATTCCCACCTATCAAATGGAGAATTTGTAAGGAACTGAAGATGAGTACTTCGTCAAGAACTCACGATTTTTGAAGAACCAATCGTCGTCTATTAAGCTAATGCTTAGAATCAGCGTCAGGATGTTGAAGAAGTTGTAGTTACCGGTGAGCATAATCGCAATTTGGAAAATTTGCTGACGAAAAAAAAAAAGGTTAGGAATACAAAATATTATTCCGAAAAATAAATCGCCAACCTGCATGTAAAAAGCAAATAGCCGAACATTCCGTACAGGAGCGAAGAACAGTAGCGGGATCGGGATTTCGGTCACAAAAGTAACGACAACTGATAAACGCTGGAACCAATCAGGTAATTGATGTGCGTACCACGACAAAGGAGTCGGTATGCACTGACTCTCGTAATGCCAATTCAACGCTGTTGGAGAGAATAACTTCAATCTACGTCGCTATATTAAATCTTCCACCAGCTTTACCTGTGAGTCCCCACCAAGTGGGACAGTTACTCAGAAGTTTAACCACACCAGATGCGAACATCAGACGAAAGAAAAGCCAACGAACCATCCAGAGGAGAAGGTCGTCTTTCACATCTGATTTTCGGTTGGGCTTCAGTAATGGAGCCATCAAAATGGCGATGAAGCCAGCTTCCAGCAGCAGAATATCCCTGATCAAAATACAATTCTTACGTTTGAATTCTTGATGAAAATACAAAAAATTACCATTGAAAATGCATGAATGTGGACCCCACCCGAACGATAGAATAGTAGAAAATCCACATTAACAACATGCTGATTGCTGAGCAGAATGTGTAGCTCAAAAATCCAAGGAATCCCAATGCAGCACCAAGAATTGACAAAACTTCCATTCCACTAGACGCATCGAGACCAAGGGGGCTGGACAGCCAAAGAACAGTCGGGTTTCGTCGAATACAACTCCACAGATCTTCGCCAGGTTGCCGTTGCAGTTCAAAATGAGCAGGTGAGATTCCTTTTCTGCCGTACAGACCTGTTCAGATAGCCAATTAACACAATCCAAACCACCGAATTGAAATATAAATTTACCCGGTATTTGAAGATACACAGATGTAAAGGCAAACATGTACACCATGCAAATACCGCGCAAGAAAACACGATTGGTGTAAGTCACAGCCATCGCTCACGAGGACTCGGGCGAAAGTCGCATGAACTTACGCGCAGAATATCAAATTCCAACTTACGTCACCTGATCGGGAGTTTTTCCACCCGAAACTAACACTTGCGAATTACTCACATTCACGCACCCCGAGTCTCTCCCGTATGAGTGAGAGGATGGTCACACTCGCGAAGGGGACACAGCAAAATCGCGAATATATTCACCGATTACCGCGTTTCCACACACTACCTCTAACTAACCGAAAGCTCTGTTCTATCCTCAGTTATACACAATACAGTACACTTTTGCACTGTAGGTCAGGTTATTTGTTAAGTATATACAAAAATCGCATTTTAATGAAGCATTGTGAGTAAATTCCAAGATGTGATCATAAGGGCTCGTTATTGCGATCTTACCCAAGAACAAAGCAGATGGTGACCATTTAACACAAACTTTTATTGCCGAAGGTTTAATCAGGTTCATAAAGAATTGACAAGAATCATGAGGCCATTTTCGAAGTACAGTACTGTACCATGAAGCCTGAATTACAGAACTTTTAATTTTTAAAGCCCAAAATATGTATTTGCAATAAGTCGAAATAGTCATGATAAATTATTAGGGCTCTATTTCATAAAATGTGAGCAAATTAATTACAGTAAGAGACTCTTTACCAGCTACATTCAAGGGCATATCAGACTGTAAAATCTGTTCTTGGTTTTTCTAAGTCAAAGGAATCGAGCAACATGCTCCAATTTGAATAGAAAAGCGTCCACCAAATTAAAGGAGCTAATAGCTGGGCAATATCGCAAACCTCATTATTGTTTTCCACTTTCATACCAAGCTCCTGCATCGTAGCACACTCCGCGCTGGTCGGCTTGGGAAGTGTGAAGTTCAGCACTGTATTCCGCTCCCTGTCGAGAGTATGAATGGCGAGCGTGTCGGAGAAACGACCGCTTAATTGTGCAGTAGTGAAGCTGTACCGTTCTCTATTTTCCGGATGCGCATCTGTGCTGTGTTGGAAGTTTGTTTACCTGATTTGGTTGAGCTATGGTGGTAACCTAGTGACTATTATCTGTCGATTTTTGTGGAAGTTGAACGATTTGCGTCACCAACCATAGCGAATCCTTATCATTCTTTCCAGTTTTACATATTCGGCGTTGTATGAAGTGTTCGCGGGAGTTGCGAAGTGTATCCCCGTTTGAGAGCGGGTAAGCAGCTGGAAAGTGAGCCGAATGATGCTATTTTATCGATGAAGTACTGTGTGTGTGTGTATTTTCGTAGTTTGTGCGGGGGATATGTTCTCCGGTTCACCTAGTTACGTTGATGGTTGTTTGGCTTGTTATGATACGTAGGGTTTTTTTTCGCGGGTCCCGGTTTGTTCGAGAATATGAAGTGAAATGATTCAAATGTAGCTGCTGATAGGTTTTCGGTTGTGTCGCGAATACGTCAGTTTTCGTTCGGATACTTCGAAATCATCCGTGAAATACATTACTGTAGTTGATTTTTCTCTTTACGTGCAGGCGATCAGTGAAAATTGTTTTGCAGTGCAACCATGTTTATGCAGACGGGTGCAGTTCAAGCTGCTGGTTTTGATGGGCAGCCCATGACTTCACCTTCAGCATTACCCGTCACTTGGTCTCAGTAAGTTGCCGAAGTTACAGGGATTGTCTGCTCCTTCCTAAACCAATTTCGAACTTAGAGCACCGGTGGTCACTGGAGGGTCCGTCTTGGGATTAGTGTACGACGGAGGTGTTATGCTGCTTGCTGACATTCTGGGAAGTTACGGATCCCTGGCGAGGTTTCGGGATTGCCGTAGATTGATGAAAGTTAATGACGGAGTCCTTCTGGGTGCTGCTGGAGATTATGCCGATTTTCAGTACCTGAAGGCCATCCTCGAGCGGAAGATGTACGGTTTCCCTGATCGCCTGCTTGTGAAGCTCGCATGATATTCATTGATTCGAAATTCTTCTGATAGCATTGAAGATCGTGCGCACGACGACAAGTTTAGTATGAAGCCAGCATCGGTCTTATCGTATCTGACGCGCATCTTATATAATCGTCGATCGCAGTTTGACCCCTTCTGGAATACCTTCGTGGTCGCCGGCATACAGGACGGAAAACCGTGAGTTGCCTCCCATGTTTCTGAGGACTTCTCTTTTGACCCCTATTCATTGCTTTTTAGCTTTTTGGGGAGTGTTGACAAGATTGGCACATGCTTTCAAGATACGCAAGTTGCCACAAGTTTAGGAGCTCATCTTGCTATTCCTTTGCTCCGAGATCGAGTCGAAAAATATCCAAAAATGACCGAAAAGCAAGCGCGCGAGGCCTTGTTGGATGCATTCCGGATACTCCTCTACAGAGATTGCTCGGCGTTTCCGAAAGTGAATATTTCTTTCAATTCTTTTTACATTTCCGAGGCTTCTTATTAAATGGAAATACTGTACTCTATTTTTGCAGTTTGAAATCGCCAAGATTACTGCTGAAGGAATTGAAGTCGAAGCACCGCAAGAAGTTTCAACTAACTGGAATCTTCATTCGGCGGTTCATTGAGGTGAAGTTTTTTCAGCTTGGTTATTTTCTTCTTTCTTGACCATGTAATTCATATTTTTCAGGGTTTCTTGATCAAGTTTTCGCACTCATACTCTCCCACTATGAAATTTGATGTCCTGTTGGCGAAATTCAAAACTTGAACTGCAGTTTGTCGGATTTATTTTTATGCATTTCTCATCTCTGGAATTTTAATTGAAGAGTTTCCGTTATTTTTCCTACAGAGCTGTGAATTTTTTGACGCTTTCCTCTGTACATTGTTTTACATCGTTGGTTCGAGTCAATTTCATAACTTCCTCACAAATACGACGTTTTCATGGCACCAGCGATGGTTGGTGCTTTCGTTCTGCCGATAGTTGGACGTTTAGAGAAATTGGCTGAAAGAATTACTTCAGTGAGTGACGACCATCTAAAGTTCTATGCCTCTCAATCGTCGGAGAGCGCGTCACAAATTCGGGCATGTCTCGATCGACTCCTGTTAGACTTGGATGCGATAGCGTCGAGTGTCCGAGCCATTGACGAGCTAGGTGCCAAGTTCGACTTCGATTCGGAAACTCCCGGTAATGGTTACCGCTCTTTCCTAGTAGTCACCGAGGCTTGCTTCGTACAGTTGGCATTAGTCTTGCATGACCTTCAAGCGAAGAGGTCTTCCCCGGTTTTTAAAAAGGCATCCTTCGTGAAGGAACTTGTTGCATGGGTTGAAGTTGTGGAATCTTTGAACTGGATGCAGTCTAAACTGCAGTTATTGTATTCCTGGTGTAAACCCGGTAGCTTGTTTCCATCGGAATATCATTCGGCTGCAGAATTGGTTCAAGATTTGGGATCTTTTGAACAGTGTTGTTTCTATGGCAGATGTATTGGCTTTCAATACAGCCCTTCGATGCGTCGACTGTTGACTTTCATTTCCACCTTGCTGGCATCCTACAGCGAAATTTATTTTCATCCGGGATGCCCGAATGCCTTGCAACGAGCGTTCATTTGGACTTCAAAAACCAGCAAATACTCTCTTAATCCGGAACAGCGAGCTAAGCGTATTCTCAACGCGTCGCAAAATTGTACGGTGGATTTCATCAAAAGCTTCTGGGACCTTAACGAAAACGAGTTCGTTCACCAGTTCCCGCGAATATTTTCCTTTTCTGCCGACGTGAATGAAGTCATACAAATCCCGACAGAGCCGCTTCAGATTCCTAAATCAAACGGGGACAAGTTCACGGTTCCTATTCCGATGGCTCATATTGGAAGAGCTCCAGTTAAAACGCGTTTGATTTCAACGAAGTTACGTGTTGGGATGGTCAATGATCTTTCCATTTGGAGGAAACTGAAATTTACCAAGGTGCATGACAAAGCTACCGGTTTAGTGATCCACTGCCATGGTGGAGGATTTGTCTCACATTCTTCTGCATCGCAAGAAGTGTTTTTGCTCGAATGGGCGAGTCTTCTAGACGTGCCGATTCTTTCCATCGATTACAGTCTTGCCCCCGAAGCTCCATACCCGCGAGCGTTGGAAGAAATTTTCTACGTTTATTGCTGGGCTTTACAAAATGCCGGTTTCCTGGGAACAACTGCCGAACGTGTTGTGTTTGTAGGAGATTCAGCTGGAGGAAATTTGGTTGTCGGTGTAACGATGAGATGCATTGAAACAGGAATCCGCATTCCGGATGGTGTTTTCGCGAGTTACACTCCGTTTTTGATATCTTTCACACCATCTCCATCAAGAATGCTGTGTCTCATGGACCCACTTCTGCCGTTTCCGTTCATGATGCGTTGCCTAGGAGCATATGCCGGACATACCGAAGTGGAAACTAGTCATGTTCAGACCGAGAAGAGTGAATCTACTGCTGGATTTGCCACAAAACCGAAGTTCTTCGCTGATCCGAAAGACGATTATCGCACTTCAAGAAATGTGTTTGGTCAAAAGGTGGCTGTGGGAGAGAAGCCGTTTCATTTTGAGGTTGTAGACAGAAAGCGTGATTATTTCCCTGCCGGGGATGATGGTCAGGAAGTGCGAAACGGATACGTGAGTGCTTTTATGGACCAGTACGCCGACGATGTTGATAAAAGCTTCCTGCCGGAAGATGACGTATTTGCCCGGGAAGAAGTCCCACAAGAAGTATTTGAGGTTGATGTATTCGACGCCAACGACAAAGCATTTGACTTGGATGAATCCAAAGACGAAGTTTTGGACGAGAACAATTTCCGCGAGCCAAGAGATAGAATTCGGTCCGGTGCAGATTTGGATCAAATGGAGCCAGCGAGTCCGGTGAAAGAGTTCACAAAATTCATTGTTTCCCGTGATCCTTACATCGCACCATATTTGGCATCTGACGAGGTATTGGCAAAGATGCCGCCAATAAGTCTTCTGACTTCTAACTTGGACCCTTGTCTTGACGACATGGTGATGTTTGGAAAGCGTTTAAAATACCTGAACAACCGTGTGAAACTGGATGTCATAGGCGGAGGGCTACCTCATGGTTTTCTGAATTTTTGCCGGTTCAGTGAGCAAGCGCATCAAGGCTCTTTGTTGAGTGTCCGGCGTATTGACGAGTTGCTCAAAGGAAATCTTTAAAATCGGATAGACCTTCGCGTGAGCTCATGTCTACGGATTACAGTACCGTAAAACTTGAATCGTTAGTATTCCCGAGCAGTAATCGAAAGAGTTCAATTTTGTACAGTATTTTATTGTCCAGTTGAAAAACATTGGCAAACTTCATTGAAATTCTGAAGAATACCTTCGGAATAAGCCACGGATGTCTGAAAACTGGCTCGCGATTGTGTTGTTTTCTTTTCAAAAAATCAGCTTACAAATTTGCGTTGTCGTTACGGAATGGAATGAGAATTTTGAATAAAATGGTGCCGGGAATCGAAACGCGATCAAATCGGCGATTGATCGTCTTGATAGGCTACTTTTTGGGCATGTGGTCATCGACCGAAATTGTTTAGTTCGGAAAAAGTGGATATTATTTTTATGAGGGATCTATTGTTGATTTTTGGTACTGGTTTCGGATTTTGAATGGTTCATGGTAGTGAATTTTTGTTCCATTTATCTTAGCTTAATTTCCTTTTATAACGATGGAAATTTAGGATTTTATTGAAATTTTTCAGAAAAGTTGAAAATGCTTAGCAGAATATAGGGGTTATTTTCTATTGTATGTTATTTTCCTCTAATGGCGGTCTCGAAGCAATTGGCGAAAAAAACAAGGTCATCTGAGGAAGTTGGATTCGAATTCTGGTATGCTTAATTCTGATTAAATTCGATTGTTTAGATATTATTGTAGTTTATTCTTTTTCAGGAACTCATGTGGCACGTGGTGGTGGATAATTTTCGCCGTCTTGATTGCAGCATCTCTTGGAACTCGTTTGTACAAGGTTGATGAGCCGCGACATGTCTGGTTAGTTTCAGTTAAATCGCTGTATTGCAATTTGTAAGACGAACCTTTTAATTCACCTATTCTTCAAGTTTGGAATGGTGAATTTTGGAGACTCCAGAAGGATCACGTATTCTTTTTCAATAAGCGTTCTGTAGCTGGAAGATTCAGAAGTTATTTCGATGTCTGCTTCTATGACACGAACAGGATATTGAAAATTGTTTATTTCCATTCAGTTGGGACGAAACTCATTTTGGGAAAATGGCTAGTTGGTACATCAATCGAACCTTTTTCTTCGATGTTCATCCGCCGCTTGGAAAGGTTAGGTCTTTTTTTTCGTGAACCGAACTGATTATACTTTTTTGCTTCTTAGCTCAAGACTATTTTAAATTCTTGCAGATGCTAATCGCTGCGTCAGGGTATTTGACAGGGTATGACGGCAAATTTGCGTTCAACAAGCCTGGTGACGTTTATGGCAACACTAGCTATGTTGGAATGCGCGTTGTAAGCTCGTTTCTTCTCTGGTTCAGGAAAGAAAAGATTATACTTGATTTTCAATTTTCTTAGGCATGCGCCGTACTTGGAGCGACTTTGACGCCCATGACTTTCATCACATCTTGGGAAATGACGAAATCTCTGAGTGCTGCTTCTTTGTCTGGAACATTGGTTCTTTTTGGTTAGTTTTCCTTTTTAAACAGCATTGTTCTTGTGAAAAATGTATGTACTGTATGCGTTTTCAGACTTCGGAGTGCTTACTTTAACGCAATACATCTTGCTGGATTCCTATTTGATGTTCTTCATTGTAGCAGCGGTCATGTGTTTGGAGAAGTTCCTTTCATACCGTGAAAGGTAAGTCTTTCTTTTGCAATATTTTGCGTATCCCAACTCCAGTTTTCCTGAAAACTTCGTTGAGTGTCGTGCGTGTTGCCTGTGTAGACAATGCGATACCGTCTAATAAGTAGTTTACCTATCGACTTGAATTAATGATTCCTGACCATAAATTACCTTATTGAAAATCCATGTGGATACCTGTTAGGACTTCGATGATTCCCTGTCAGAAGTTTAGAAGAACGGAGCTATTTTTGTCGACCAATTCTTTTATGCCATTAATGCTGTAACCATTTTTTATCGCATTCCGTGTGTGTCGTTTCTCGGTAATTATTCCGTGAAAACTGCAGAAGTACCTTTTTATGTAGAATTAACGAGTTTTGCAAGTGCGATCTTATCAGCTGACAGGTGAGGGCTATTTATTAAATGTTTTCCGATGTGTGTTGAATCACATTAAGCATAATCATACTTTCGATTCAAAGTTCCCGAGAATAATTATCCTGAATACTTCTAAATAACATTCAATATTTTTGATGGTACAATCTATCGAGCTTATTATTTTGAGGGAAAAATGTGTTTCTTTCGCCACCCTTGACAGTTTGGAAGAGTAATCGAATTAAATGCTTCAGCACGGATAAGTTCGAAGACTCGATTCATTGTTTCGATAAATTAAGCGAATACGATTTTTAAAAACTTTCGCCTAGAGACTTGTGTTTTCAAAAAATCATATTTCGACTCACGGTGCCTCAGAATTAAAATGTGAATCGAACCGAAACTGAAATTTGTCTTTTTTCACCGACGTAATTAACATTCATTTTCAACTGAAGTCCATTCTCAGTTTTCTGGTGGAGTTGGATGCTTCTTACTGGAACTTGTTTGGCTTGCGCTTTTGCCGTGAAGTTCGTCGGACTGTTCGTGGTGCTATATGTGGGCGTGAGAACTGCTTGGGATTTGTGGGAAATTCTCGGAGATGTGGGGAAACCATTTGTGAGCATAGAACTGGACGTCCCTAGGTTTTTCGTTCTTGCACACTTTCATATTTTACCCATAGGTGTACACCATGCGTCATTTTGTGGCTCGGACTTTGTGTCTGATTGCATGGCCCGCGGCCTTGTATGTACTATTTTTTTACATTCATTTGCAAGTTCTGTCAAAGACCGGGAACGGTGATGGGCATTTTAGCTCAGCTTTCCAATCTACGTTAGAAGGAAACCCCCTTCACAACGCTTCTATGCCAGGCGGTGAGTCATAACTCTAAAAAATTGTAATTTCTTGCATTATCAGGAAGCTTGCTAGCACGAGGGTTAGTATTCATGTTTCTGAGCAGTCAGCCATTTTCGTGAGAAAATAAACGACCAAAAGATAGCGAAATTTTCTAAATTTCCTTGTTCAGTTTTGGTTGAACTACAGGAAGAATGGATTCCATATCATCTTCAAAGGAACCCCTAAAAAAATGTATTCTTCGAAAACATAAGGTGAAAACGAGAAAATACTGTGTAACTTCTACTGCATAAAAAATAACGAGTACAGTACAGTACTGTACTATTGTACAAAGATAATTTTTAAATACTGTATCTCTAATTTTTTATGAGTTTTGATTCGCCCTTTTTCGAAGAACATAAATGATATGATTTCTGAAGTATCAATATTTTGGAACATCACTTCTTATCTTTAATGTTTTAGAAATTTATTTTGGAAGCCCTTCCTAGTATTGAAAGTATCAGTCGAAAGTGTACTGAACCTGTTGAATGAAGCCATCTCGGAATCCAATAGAAATATGTAATATTTCAGACCTTGCGAAGAAACTTGAATACTTGTCTTATAGTGAATGGTTGCGCAAGAAGATACATCCATGTTTGTACATAGCTGTGAATGTTCTAGGGGAAATTCCGCTGTCGCTCTTGTTTACGGTACTTGTTTAATTTTAAATATTTACTTGCAGAGTTGGCCTTCGGCGCGGAGATCACGATCAAGAATAATCGAGTTGGAGGTGCATATTTGCATTCGCACTTCCATCTCTACCCCGTTGGAGTTGGAGCACGACAGCAACAAGTGACAACCTATTCTCATAAAGATCCCAACAATGTATGGGTTGTGAAGGTGACTTAACAGTCGTTCATAGATGAGAATATTGAAGCAAGTACTGTACTAGACCAATTCGTGACCATGGACGAGAAGAGATAAAATGTACTTTTGTGACGCATGAAACCGTGATTTAAAATTTAAGATTTCACTTTTTCTGAAATTTAAGGCCATCAATGAATACGCCAGTAACCTTAAATTTAATTTGTTTTTACTTTGTCTGCATTTCGACTTGCGAGAGATATTTTAGATGCTTAAAATATTTTGTTATACGGGGTTTTACAGCCTTATGATGCTCCTATTCCCCCACTGAATGGCACTGATGAAATCGAGCTGGTTAAAAACGGGGATTTGATTCGCTTGGAACATAAACTGACGCGAAGGAATCTGCATGCCCATAAAGTTGCGGCACCGTTGTCTCGAAAGCATTACCAAGTCACCGGCTACGGCGAAGTGAGTCAAACGAGAAAAGTTCTGGCTTAGCTTTTGAAACTTCCATTGATGAAATTTTCTTTGCAGAACGGGACTGGGGATGCGAATGATATTTGGAAGATAGAAATTTATGGGAAGTCGACTGGAGGCGACGTCATTCATCCAGTCCGAACGACGTTTCGTTTGATTCACTACATAACTGGTTGCGGATTGTTTTCGCACAACAAAAATCTACCGAGATGGTTGGTCATGGTTTTTTCTCTGATGAAAATTTCAGGAAAATCTAAAATGATTTCGTCTTCTAGGGGATTCGAACAAATGGAAGTAACGTGCAATCCGAATCTTCGAAATGACAACAATCGATGGAATATTGAAGAAATTAATTTTCCTCGAAGTTAGTAAAAGATTCAACGGACTCCTGAGAAAATCAGATAACAATAGTATCTTATTTCAGTGCCGAATGTTAGCATGGAAATGTACAAGCCGTCATTTTTCGAGAAGTTTGTTGAAGCCCACGCCGTGATGCTGCAAGGCAACGCTGGTTTAAAGCCTAAACCGGGAGAAGCTTATGCGAAACCATGGCAATGGCCGATTGATTTCAGAGTAAGTCCGTCTTCACGAAACGATTTTCTCAGCTTTTTATCACGCATAGGTTCCAAAATAAATTGGACTCTCTAAATTTTTGTTACTGTTGCAAAACGTATTTTTTAAATTCTGTAATCTGATCATTCATAGCGAATGAAACATCGGAAAAATACAGTACAATATTGGATCAATGTTTCAAGTACACGCGTTGCTTAACTTCATTTTTGTTTCTAAAATCGTTTTTGTGTGCGTACGTTCAAATTCCATCACGAGGAATAACATTGGAGTCAACGAGTTCGCATTTTGGCTTTGGAATCCCTTTTTTGTACTGTATATATTCCAGGGACAATGGTTTTTAGCATTGGAGTCAACGAGTACGCATTTTGGCTTTGGAATTCCTTTTTTGTACTGTATATATTCCAGGGACAATGGTTTTCTGCCGTGGATTCTTTGCATATTTATTTGCTGGGCAATCCGGTGATTTGGTGGGGAAATATAGTTCTCCTTGGCGTATTTCTTTGCTGTTTGTTTCTGAATGCCGTGAAAGCTCAGCGGGGAATTGAAGAATCTCCTAGCGAAAGTGGTAAGTATTGGATCATTACCGCATTTTCTTTTGGTCATTCACTTTCTTGTTCCTACTTTCAGCTCGAAAGCGGCAGATAAATTGGGCGTGCCTCTGGCTCTTCGTTGGCTGGAGTCTCCATTACCTTCCATTCTGGGGAATGGGCCGCATTCTGTATTACCACCACTACTTCCCTGCCCTTCATTTTTCCACGATGATTTCCGGTTTGTTTGGGCGAGATTCTTCACGAGTGTGACCTCTACATGACATAATATTATTCGCAGCCTTAACCGTCGATTACTCGCTCCAGACGGTTTGTGCCATGTTACCAAATAGATATGCTTCAGGTCTCGTTCATTGGACGCTTGGAGTGATCGTCGCTGTTGTGGCATATAGGTTAGAAGTCTTTTTTTAATAATTTTTTTGTCGTCGACATAAACGAATATCATTCTCAGTTTCTGGCTGTTCTCTCCGCTGGCTTATGGCTACGTCGGAAACTCGCAGCAACCGAACAGTACCGTGTACGGCCTTAAATGGATCGATTCGTGGGAATTTTGATCCGATCTCTGTTCGGGCTTCATTATTCCTGCAACAACGACCAGAATGTATGAAGGAAATTACGTGACGAGAACCTTTGATTTCAAGGTTTTCTGCATGGTGCGCAAAATATGTTGATAAATAGGAAGATGAAGCGTCCGAAGAATGCAATTTCCGTGGGAGAGAATCTCATTGTTTCTGAAAATGGCTATTTTTATAGAGTTGTTCCGGTTGTTCTTGTTATTCATGGTTGCGGAGATATTGAATATATTCTTTATTTTTTGCTTTCAAACCAAAGATCTTCGTACATTTTCGTATTTTATCCCGTAAATTTTCGTACAATCTCAATGTGAAATTGTTTATTTGCCGAAAAGTTAGAAAAACTGATGGAGGAAGCAGAAATTTGGAGAAGAATTGAACCTGCTCGATTCCGGCTGACAAACGAGGCTGCTCTGCTGAGGAGATTCGTGGTCAAAGTTCGATTTTTTCGAAAGGATAAAACGATTCGCTCTTTGCGTCAGGTAATTTTGGTTTCGTCTACGCGAGATGAAAATGTTAAATTTCATTCCTATGCTCAGGTGCTAAGACATGTCGATCTCGCAATTCAAGCATGTGCAAGAAAACATATCGACCATCTCCTCTTCTCGTGCAGTCAATTGAAAACATATTCCTTGTTAGCTGCTGAAAATGCTCGACTGCGAATAGGTGTTGGACATCGAATCCCGGAATGGAGCTTTTCTCTCGGCTTAGCGGCTCGAGTGTGGTTGGTAATTTGTATACGCAGGGCGATTTTCGCGGTAAAAGACGCACAAAACGGGTATATATCTGTGAGTCAGGAACACCTGACCCTGGATTTTGTGCATAAGCAAGGGAGGATCCTGAGTTCATCCCATTCACCGATGTGTATCGCTCATGGCATAGGAAAGATTAATTTTTTGTTTCAATCCCTGTGTGAGTGAGGTACAGTAGTCATTTTCCTGAGGTTTTCTCGATTCTTCTTCATCCTTAGTTCGACAGAAAATATTCGTTTTTCGGAGAATGCCACTAATTTACCCTGTGTCCCAAGCGCGAGACACGAGTCCCTCGGAAATTGTATTTTATTCTTTTTATTTGAGCTGAAAATTTGTGGTTTTCACACAGAATTGAACCTATTTAATTCTGTGTGAAATACTTCAGAGCACCATACCCCACCTACCGTGGGCACACATAATGCTTCTATTTCACGAATTACCCTCGTTTTTGTGTGTTAAGTAGTGTTTTAAACACTCCGTACGATCCCCTTCTACTGTTCCACTCAGCATGACCCATTTGCACATGTTTTCGTATTGGCAGGTGTCTTGCAGATCACATCGCCAATAAAGCGACATCCACGTCGCAAAAAGAGGTTATCATCGAAAATTCACTAGTTTCCCGGGCATTCGTGAAGGTAACAGAAGGAATCGATATGTCGTCCGAATCGGAATCCAGTGGGTCCGAATTAATTGTGTCAGTTGATGCCTCTGTTGAAAATGTCGAGGAGCTTCCAGAGAGCGAACCAGGTTAGCTTCTGTTTTATTTAAATGCTGATGATATTCCTCCTTGATTTCTCTCGGATTTTTGAATTTCTTTCCATAGAATGGGAAACGGAATCCTCGGTAAACCGTGTAGGATCTGAATTCATTACTTCGCCGAAAGAGCCTTGCTTTTCGGCGGAAATCGGCGAAGAGTGCTCAAAAACTACCTACTCGCCTAACCCGATTGAAGTAACCGAGTCCAGCGTTGTTCCTAATAAAGAACGTTCAACTTCCCCCGTTGGCTTAGGCCTGTGTCGTCGTATTTATTCAGATGACTCTTGGGACGAAGAAATGCCGTTGCCAGTTTCTCCTGGTTTGATGCAGCAACGAGTCAATCGAGGTGCGTATGTGGTGATTAACTGATGTACTCCGTTCCTTTTACTTATCTCTTGCTTTATTTACAGCGGAGGAAAAAAGCATTTCTATTTTCCCAAAAAGGGATCCAGATCTTTCCTTGAAGAAACCAAAATTATTCAAATCCAAGCGAATGTTCAAATCCCGAAAAGGGCGATTAGAACGCGAAGGACTCGGCAAAAAAAGACGGAAATCGGCCAAGTTCAAATGACTGTTCTTATCATTTCGTGTGAAGAAAGCTTCTACAATGGTTGCTTCATAAGTTTCGACAGTTTTGTACTTCACGTGTTGGATCCTTATTGGATTGGAAGAGATGGAATTTATTTTCTAGATTAATTTTCTTATTTATTTTCTCGGTTATACCCACGTAGGTTCCAATAAAGACGATATCAATCAGTTGAAAGTGAGCCCCATTCTTGTGTAGTTACACTTCGACTACGCGTCATATACGTTTTAATAATTTTATTAATACAAGTTTTTAGAATTCCACCAATTTTGGGCCGCAAAAAATTAACTACCTTATTTTCAGTATGAAGTAGGGCTTGCTTCAAGGCTTTTTATCGATGGTGGTCTGAAGGATTCTGACATAAGCAATAAAAAATTTATATCTTGGACCTGACAAAAACTTTTCAACCGACCCTAGTGTTGGAAGCATGTTATGCTGCTTATTTTTGATTTCGTAACCATATTTTGTCCCTAACGTCGTTCACGGGTTTTCCGATGCTGTATTTCGCTTGTTGAACAGGATGTGTCCGTTAGTGGCAGTCGGAGGACTTGCTGAACTTGTACTTCTATGTACAGTTTAATCGTTGTTCGATTATAGTGTGTTGAGGGTATTACTGAAATAAATCGGCGAAGTTCTTGAAATCGGTTTCGGGTTTTCTGTTTTGTTCCCGTTCCAGCTTCCGTTCTTCACACTCGGTTACATTTCCGTTCTCAACACTTTTCAAGGTATTGCTGTGGAAGAGAGGAATGATTTCCCTCACTGAAGAACAAAAGCGGCGAATAGAGGAGAACAGGCGCCGCGCGTTGGAAATTCGTGCTGCTCGTGCGAATTTGCAGTCCTTCAATGGTCCGAAACCCACGACCTCTGGTACACCTGCTCCTGCAAGCGTTGGCGCATCTTTCCAAGGTGAACAACCACCGACAAAAAAACAGAAAACTTTGTCGACACCATTTCCCGCGAATCAGAATGCTCTCCCCCGAGGACCTGCTGTGTCCAGTGTTAAGCCTGTGTTGGGAAAGTGTGTTCTAGTTGATCGACGCACTTTCCGTGTCGATATGGGCTTCCATGAGAAAGCAATAGAGGAATTCAAGAGCATTCCGTCACGAATTTACGGTGAGTCATTATCGAGTAAAATTTAAAAAGTCAACCGGTTTTGCACAAAACACAAGCTGGAACTCTTGACGATTCCCTGCTGTATTTCGTAGCCTTGCGTCGTTCATTCCTCGAATACAATTTCATTTCGTAGACATGACATCGAAGAGATGGAGCTTTGCGCTCACGGATCACGTGAAGCTCATGTCGAAATTGAACGCTCTTCGTCCTCATGTTGCCGTCGCCGAAATTCCCAAGCATGTTGTCGAGGTAAGCTCGTTGATTGCGGTGAGTTACCCACAATTTGAATGATACTTCTTCCGCTAGCATTTTCTTGCCAACGCCGAAAAACCTCGTGTTCCAAATATTAGCCTAGGAGCCGTGGAACCTTATCTCGCCTCGAGCCTAATGCCCTTTCAAAAAGATGGTGTTCGGTGAGATATGGGCGCTGATAACTATATGTCAGCGATATTTTTGGGAACATATCGTTCGCGCTTCTTATCCTCTTCGTGTTTCGTACAGCTTCGGTGTTTCCCGACATGGTCGCTGTTTAATAGCCGATGATATGGGCTTGGGTAAAACTATTCAAGCTCTGGGTATAGCTTCAAACTACTTGGATGAATGGCCGCTTCTGATAGTTGCTCCATCGTCCATGAAGTAAGTCGACTCACCAAAAAATCACTTTTTTGTTTCATATTTGAAATGTGAACCGGACGTTCTTGAATAATGCTAGTTTGTAGGAATTTTTCCGGATTTATCGAACATTTTTATGTACAGATATCAGGGCACTGGTCAACCAGCAATTGATGGACCACTTGAAATTTCGATTCAATAAGAGGGACCAAAAAAAGACTGTGCACATTGAAATTTCAAACTGAGAAGCCTTATTCCCCCTGATCGCTAATTATCCGAGTCAGGGAACTTCGAGATTTGTAGGAATTTCAGTACAGTATTTTTCTCTGCACATTCTTGAATTTTTGCCTTCAGTTGAAAATATCTTCAAGATTTTTTGAATTTGGAGCATCAAAGTACAAACGCACTCAGCCATTAACCCGGATGTTCGGTGTTTAACTGTGTTTCTCTGTTTTTAAAAACCGCAATAGAACTACATATAGTCGATTAAATGTTGAGATATGCCTTTCCCGCAGGATTTTTATGCTCTGCAACTACAGTACATGGCAACCTCCTCTTAACGAATATATTGAATTTTTCTCGAAATCAATGTTCCGAAAGTCGTGAAATTGAGTAGGCGTTTCAAGAATACCTCAGAAAAATTAAAATCTGTCCGATGTTGCGTATGTCAGTCAATTTTGAGTAACTTCATGTGAGATGAACTCCGTATTCTTTGTGTCTCAGGTATAACTGGGCTCATGATGTAACGCGTTGGATGCCTAGCTTGCTTGCGGCTGATGTCTGCGTTATTGATTCAAAAAAAGCCATTCCGTCGGACGCCAAAGTGATCTTGATTTCGTATGATTTATTTGCTCGTCGAGTTGAGGAATTCAAAAACCTGCAAAAGCCAATTGGTATAGCAATTATGGTAAGAGGGTTAAAAAAAAAGTCGAATTTGAGGTGCTTAGGGGTGATCTTTCCCTTCGCTCATTCAGGATGAAGCCCACATGTTGAAAAATGGCAAGACAATTCGTGCAAAAGCTGCGAGGCAACTTTTGAAGAATGTAAAACGGATAATTTTGCTGACGGGAACCCCAGCATTGTCTCGTCCCATGGAGCTTTTTACTCAGTTGCAGCTACTGAATTGTCGCACTTTCGGGAAGTGAGTTTTCATAGTACAGTAGTGTTACTGATTTTGCAATTATCGGAAGCTATCCTCTATTCAGCGCGATAAATCCCATTCTTTAGTTTTCAAGCATTTGGGATTCGGTATTGTGACGGGAAAAAAACGCCGTTCGGTTGGGATTTTTCGGGTTCTTCACATATGGCGGAGTTGCAAATGCTGTTGGAAGATACGGTAATGATTCGTCGTTTGAAGAAAGAAGTTCTGGAGCAACTTCCAGCAAAAGAACGGTAACTGTATTATGCGTAGATTCCTTCATGTAGTTCCTTCTTTTATCTCTTGTTTAATTCCTTCAGTCAAGTTGTTCTGCTGGATCCTTCCACAATTGAGAAGCCAACAAAGGCAATGAATTCCTTGGTTTCACAAATGAACAACTGCAAAATAAAAGGCATGGAAAGAAGAGGGAAGTTGCTCGAATATTTTCATGAAACTGGACGCGTGAAACTTCGCGCTGCATGGTAAGATCCTTCGATCAGTTATTCTTTGAATTAAAAAATAAAATGAAATTTAACTCGCATATAAATGTATTATTTGAAATTACTTCGTTTGTTTCTGCGCCATGAGAAAATACCGGCATATACAATATGCCAGGAGGAACAATTGCAGAGGTAAAGTAAACATCAATGTCATGGTAAACATTAAAGAAAATTGCCGATGATACAGGAAAAATATTTGAAACAAAAAAACTGAACTGAACGATGAAGTACGCCCGAAATTATGAGGGAAGAAGAATCGCAGAAAAGCCGTTGCAAGCACTGTACTGTATTACCCTTGGATCAATTTCAAAGCAAAATTATGAAGATGAAAAACGTCGAAGCTAGGATTGCGCTCGTCTGTCTTCATGACTTAAGAACATTATTATTGGGGCTTTCAGTTGAATAACTCATCCCTTCACGGTAGTATAACAAATATTTAAAATATTTAGCTTATATTCCAGGGGAATGCCTGTCCCCCACATTGTTGATTGCCTGTAATTTTTCCACTCCAGCGTACTGGTATTCTCCTGGCATTCTCGGCACTTTTATCCTTGCCTTCTTATTCTTTTAATACATTTCTCCTTGTAATTTGAATGTTGTATTCACATTAACATAAGACTCCCTTTATGATAAACCGCACCACTATTTTTCTCAGTTTGAAAATTGAAATAAATTGTCTTGCGAATTTAAATCGATTGTATTTGGTTTGTTCAGAATCAAGGGCGCTGTACGCTTCTTCAATTCAGGCTTGAGTCTTACTCTTTATCTCAAACGCTTTCCACAAAAATTCGGCGTTGAACTTTCGAACTCTTGAACTGGAAATGCCCACAAAGATTATTATAATATAATAATAATCTTTATGGCCATTAGTTATTTTCAACTTCGTCTCCGTGACGAGGGAACATTATCAGTGGTCTACATTCTCTACAAGATTCATATTTTTTTCTAGCGATTATGTTATGGATCTGGTGGAAAGCGAAAACAAATTTCTTTGCTTTGCGCACCACGCTCATGTTTTGGATGGATTATCGGAAACGCTTCGCAAGAAGAACATTGATTTCATTCGGATAGATGGCCGGACGTCTTCGGACTTGCGTCGAGCGTATTGCGAAGCCTTTCAAACTAGGGAAGAATGCCGCGTTGCTTTGCTGTCGATTACTGCCGCTGGTGTCGGACTAACTCTGACGAGTGCGAACCTTGTAGTATTCACCGAGCTTTATTGGAACCCTGGAATCCTCACGCAAGCTGAAGATAGAGCGCATCGTATTGGGCAGCAAGATTGTGTTTTCATTCAATATCTGGTAGCTGCGGGCACTGCGGACGATCATTTATGGCCGATGATACAGCAGAAGCTGGATGTGCTGAGCAAGGCTGGCTTGTCCAAGGACAACTTCAAGGAAGCGGATTTCATCGAAGCGCCGGCGAAGGATCGTGGCATTGCGTCCTTCTTCGAAACTATTGTCGAAGATTTGAATGAGTCAAAGAATCAAGAGTGATTAAACATTTTTCTACCTGCATATTCGCGTGCAAATTTCGTATGGTAATTATTTATTTTATTCTTAGTTCTTTTTCTTGAGATGACCAGCGATTGATAATTGGAATGTTCACGATTACAGAATCGAGTGTCAAATGAAAACATTCCCGTCACAATGTTGAGTCACAGTGAACAAGAAAGCTTTAATATCGATTGTTTATTAGCGAAATTGACCCAGTGCCTCGAAGCGCAGCCCGACAAAGTTGACCTCAGATCATACGTGGAAGCTTACGATGAACTGTACAAGTAAGTTGGTTTTGTCTTTTTTCATTTTTTAGAATCTCAAAATTATCGAATAGCTTTCGTTTTACCGAATTTGAGGTTTTACGCTTTTATTAGAGAAGCATGGACGACTTATCTTCTATTATTTTGTCTTGATGATGTGTACCAATTGCAACGAGTGATGCAAGATTTTCGAATAAAGTCGATCAATTTTGAAATTTTCAATAGATTATTCATGGCGCTCGGGACCCTGTTCGGGTTTGTGGCATCGGATGTACGGGATAAGTGTGATATTCTGAAGAAATACTTGACTGAAGTAGAGCATTATTCGAGCGTTGAAGGCATGATCGAATATGAAATGGCCGAAGATTTGATCACCGCTGACGCCACCAATGGATGTCGAACGTTGCTTCGGTTGCATCGTGCGATGCGTAAGTTGCTGCATTCATATATTGCTGAGCCAAGGATCTTCAGTCAACTGTATCATACACTTTTTTCGATCACAGTATACTTCTGATGTTTTTATGGGAGTTAACATTTAGAGGTTCTGCATTGAATCAAGAACAGCACAATTGTATCTAAAGCTCTAAACTTACAGTTGTATCATCGTATATTTCTTTGGTGTAAATCGAGGAAACATTGTTGAAAATGCACCGCAAGATGTTCTCTGCTATTGATGAAATTTCTTGTTTGACTCACGGGACCTTAGCGAAACCTCTTGAGTTTGTACGCAAAGGCGAGGGCGTTGAAAATTGATACGCACTCTTCTGTTCTCAGCATTCGTCGCACGATTCCTTGAGCGGGTACACGCTGCCGGTGAAAATGATGCTTTGAAAAAGCATGGGAAAGAAGCTTATGATCAGACTTTGGCTCAATACCATCCGTGGTTGATTCGGAAAGCCGTCGGGTTAGCTGTATACAGTTTGCCAACCAGGAAGAATCTCCTGAACATAATCGCGGGAGAAACTTCGGAGCGTCATGAATATGTTGCCGGTGTTGCCCCAACCGTTGTATCGCGATTAGATGCGGTTTTTGAAAAAGTTCAGGTGCTGTACTCCGAGAAATCGCTTCTGGATTTACCGTGATTGTCCCGATTTCGGTTACTGTGGGTTTCTTTTAAAACTAAATTGTGATTCCATGAGCTCATCTGTCTAAATTCATTTCGGGTGGATTCGCGGATCGGCGTTTTAATTTTTACTCAGTTTCAAGGATTCAGGTTGTCTGATTGAATTCATTTGAAGACGAGAAATGAAGAGTACAGTTGTTTTGAAAACCTCCCTGTAATTTATTTGCTCTCTTGTTATACAATACTGTATAGTACAGTACTGTATATACAAAGTACTGCTTTGGCTGACGGGTAATCTATGTTTTCATCAGGTTGGAACCGAGCGAGCTCTGTGTAAGGCAACGAAGCGCACTCTATATTTATTCACTGTGCATGTACAAGTGGCGACTACCCCAGTTCACTTTGTGATCTAGTGCCGTGGATTGTAATGAAAGTGATTGAATTAGTGACCGAAATTTTGATTAATTCGGAATTTTTCGCCGTTGGATGTATGTTCAGATTTGACACTTCATAAAAATCTACTGTGTATCCATTCTTGTAGGTGGAATCCCTTTACATTCGTCAGTGATCAAAGAATGACAATGGATGGTGATAACGACAGCCCGCCTATTTCTGACCAGGAGAAGGTGAACTTTTTCATTTGGGCACTGATGTGCTTGTCTCTAGGTTACTTTTCTTTTAAAGGTCCGCATAGCGTCAGATTTTATTCAGCATGCTCCTCCGGGGGAATTCAATGAGGTTTTCAATGGTGAGTACTTGATACTTTTAGTGATCGGATAGTGACATTGACGAGTTTGAACGTTCCCAGATGTGAGGATATTAATCAACAATGATGCGCTTCTGAAAGAGGGGGTCTCGGCGTAAGTTGTTCACTGCTGTTCATGGTTGCCTGTTTCTAAAGAGGTTCTTTATTTTTAGATCGATCGCTCAGTATAACAAAGAACAACTCATCCCTGTGAAAGTCCAAGACGCCGAAATCCCATCTCTGATTTCGGATTACAATGACATCGGAGGCGGTCGATTTTATGATCCGAGATCGAAACTATCCTTTAAAGTTGATCATTTGCGGAAGGAAGCAATGGACTTCCAGGTAATTGATTTGATTCAATTACTTTTCCTTTCAAACGCTCAATTTATTGGTTTTCTTGAAGGGGTGGAGTGCCGACTCAAAAGTCGAAAGTTGGCGAGCTGCGCTTGAAGAAGAAATGACGAGCTACGTAGGAGACCATTATCGCGGTGTCTGTAGCGTTTTCGGGAAAAGTGAAGGTTCCATGCTTACTCTAACCGCGTGCATCGAATCGCATCAGTTCCAACCGAAAAACTTTTGGTATGACTATCTAGATCGGCAGATTTCAAATTTGGTTGCAAATTTTTCTATCGTTTCGCAGGAATGGTAAGTGGAGGAGCGTTTGGACCGTCAGCTTTAATCATGGATCAGGATGTGGCCAAGAAGTTGAAGTTCGTGGCTTACTGCGCGTGCATGTGCATTATTATGAAGACGGTAACGTTCAGTTGGTCTCGTCGAAAGAAGTCAAACATTCACTTATGATAACGGTACTGTTCAACTTGGATTAATTCTTTGCGAATGTTGACTCATATTTCTGTGTTCTGTGCAGGATGAAATTCAAAGTGCACAAGAGCTCACGCGAATCATTTGTGACGCGGAAAACAAGTACCAGTCTGCTATTGTTGAAAACTATCATACTATGTCTGACACGACTTTCAAAGCACTGAGACGGCAATTGCCTGTGACCCGCACGAAAATTGATTGGAACAAGATTTTATCGTATTCTATTGGTAAGGAGCTCAATCGTCAGTGAGCTGGATACCCTTGCCAGTTATTCTCCTTTTTGATTTCACTCCGGGTTCTCGTTGATGCGTTAAGATAGAGCCGTTTTGTGGCTAATTTTGCCAGAAAAAACCTCGCTCATTAGCCGTCATCAACTTCATGCTCGGAAGCCTGATTTCTCCCTCTTTTTCCGAATTCACATGTGGGATGAGATAAATTTCTAAGTCGCTGTGATAAATTATGTCCAGACTCCGGGGCAAGATTTGGTCGCTAACCTCTTTGTGAGATAGGTGCCGAAAAAATAAAGTGCAGCGGAGTTCTGGGACTTGTATTTTGAGACCGAGCGATGGGAAAAAAATTCTTGGATTTAGTTCATTCGCTTAGCTTTGTTTTTTGTTGTGGCTATTTTAGCATTTCATTTATTCCATCTCCAGAGTTATCGAGGTAATATTAATTTATATGACATTCATGCGCTTGTAAGGAGAGATTTTGCGTTTTTTCTTTTCGTCACTCAGTCTTGCGCATGCATCAGCATTTTATTCTATTTTTTGAGGTTAAATGTCGTCTGCGTTGCCCATTTTGTTCAAGGAGCGAAGGAATGTTATTTATGTTTGAATGTTTCTGTGGTTGACATTTTCCTTCCGGCTGCGTTGGAATTGAGCTGTCACCAGAATCGATTGTTTTATTTGTTGCGTGTAAACGCAGATTCCAATGGTTTTAACCAGAAGCTGAGAAGAAACAAGGGCGAAAAGTTGCTTTTACTGTGGAGTTACTGTTCATCGCGATTATCGCTGTTTTATTTTCACTGTATCCATTCCTCCCGCAGGAACTTGGATGTGTTTGTGCTTGTGTGAATGTCCGCTGTCAAAACTGCCGTGACTACTCTCAGTCACGGCAATCTTTTAGATGTTTCGCAAGCTTCTTGCACTGGTAGTATTTCATCAGTCGTATCCAGTACGGATGCTTCGTCCATATATGGTCAAAAGAGGAATGAGACTAGTTCGAAGCATGTCAAGTGGCGTCGTGGAAAAAGCGCGGTTTCTCGTTCTAGGCAGATGTCCGGAAGTAGTGATTCCGGGTCACGGCCAGCGCGACCTTCTTCGTGAGTTAATCTTTTTTTTTTGCCCTGCGTTTAATGGCTTCGTGACGTTTCTTTTTCTATTTCCAGATTTCCTCAGTCCAAGAATGTTTATGGAAAATACAATTTGTCTCCGAGGCATTCACGCCCTCGTTCAAGACTTTCTGGATCTGTCGTATCTCTCGCAGACAGTGAAGTTGACTATTTGAAGGATGTGCTGCGTGGGTGAGTTTATTTTTCATTAGTTCATTATGTGAGAAGTCAAGTAACATGGTAGTGAATCGGTAAAGTAAGGCGTTGGTACGCTTCGTATAACGACATCCGAAGATCCCAAGAAAAGAAAAAAATGCATCGTTGTAGACAGAATTTGAAGTTCACAATAGTTCTGAATTAATGGAAAGTCGTCCAGGACTAGAGAAAAATTTGCTGATTTGAAAATATCGTTGTCGAGAGCAAGGACACGATTCTATATCGAAAATTAAAATTTTGATGGCCGACCTATTGAAGTATAGTATCTCCGAGTGTTGATATGCGGCATCTCTCCGCTACGAAAGAAAATGTTTCAATATTCATCAAGCTCCGTTTGTTCATCAAACACGGAGTCCGAGTCGAGTGATATTGTTTCTTCGTGTTGATTTTGCAGCAGTGAGTCATTTTTCACCGAGCGTGTAGATCTTGGGCTGAAGGTGTTCCCTCTGATTAGTTTTTGTGCGAACAGCCGAGTTCGTTCTTCATTCCCTGTGCATTTTATGACAACTCTACATCATTTATTACATTTCGGCTGTATTCTTGCAAATTTATTGAATTTTCCTCGACATGGTCATCTAGTTAGGACGTAAGCCATTGAGAAATATTCTGTATGTCGATTTATGAATTTTTGCACTCCGTCGTTCGATGATAATGTTGACTTGTTTTTCAGATCGTACAGTCTAGATGAGCTTTATATTCCGTCTCATGATCTTCGCATATTGGAGCGAATGGCTCTTCGGGTGCAGATGGAACGAGAACGCGAGTTGAAAGCAGAAGAGAAGCGCCAAATGTGGTTGAGTCAAGAGAAACTTGCAAAAGAAGAGCGTGCGCGGCAGACGGAGGAATACCGACGGCGAGTTGCCGATCAGTGGCGTCGCGAACAAATGCAAGCTGCGATTAGAAAGATGAAGATTGAGGAGCGCGAAGCAAAGCTGTCGGAGAAAATCCAGCAAGAAGTTGATGAACGACATCAGCATGCTATGGAACAAGTTTCCAAGCTGCGAATGTCTCGCGTATGTGCTTTTTTCAGTATTGTACTTCTGAACCTCGATAACCCGAACCTCCCCAATTCGAAAACTTCATGTCGATTTTTTTTTATCCTATCAGAACTCCGAGAAGAACATTACAACCTTGAATTCATTTATGCATTTGGGCTATTATTTTGAATGCAAATGAAATTAAATATAAATAAAAATCTGACCAGCTGTTCTTAAAAAGGAAGTGAGTTCGTAAATGGGCAATTTTGCCCTTGTTTTGATGTTTATTATACTGTCCTCTCGCTAGACTAGACAGCAGTTTTAATCTTAGAAAATCACAAATATTACCTTCTTTTGAGTTTTCCATTGTTTTTACACAAAAAACTATTCCGTTTCCTTGAACCGAATTGTTTTGGTGGTTTTTTTGAATCCGACTTGAAAATATTCAACTTCACTTTTTTTCTTACATCGGCGGAATTGGCCCGTGTAAATCGGACTATCAAAACTAAGTACTGTACCAATTCGATGATATTCCAGCGGTTACTATCCCCTAATAGCCTGGCGAGCATGTTCACGATTGCGGAAAAGAATGTCGTTTTGAATTTAATGTTCGATTGCGGCATGATCCGACGACCTGATTTATTTCATTTTTGGCTGCATCGTATTTGATTCAATAAAATCTTTGGGAATAATGTTACAGGACAGAAGGCTGAGAGAGCGAAGTCTGGAATACGTCGCTCGGAAAATGCGACTTGAATCGGAATTGCGGCGGCGGGAAAGAGAAGAAAAAGAAAATAAATTGAAGAAATTGGAAGAAAGCGAACGAAGAATACGCATGGCACAAGACTGCAGACGACGAGCTGCGGAGTTGCATCAACGGCGCCTGGCTGAGACGCACCGAATGTCCCGTGAAATCAATCAAGCTAAACGTTCAGAGGTAAGTTCGACCTTGTCATTTATGACGGTCTTGTTGATTTTAGAGGAATGCAAGTTTTGGATGGAGAAATACAGCGTATTGTATTGTTTGTTAATGTACGTAATTATATTCTCACGCCCGCGATGGATTTTTCAGGTTGTTAAAAAAACTGATACCGTCCTGGACTCCATCAGGCATCGTATGTTCGAACGCGAGCAAATAGCTTCAAGAAATTATCAGGAAGTAGTCGCCAAGAAGAACGAGCATCTGAAGTTGCAAGGTGAAGAGCTCAGGCGTAAAATGTTGCATGTTTCAACTGTTCGACGTCAACTTGATGTGGGATTCGAAGCCTGGAGAAAAAAGATAGAAGAATTACAAGCTTCTGGACTTGAAAAGGCTCAAGCAACAGTTGAGCATGAAATGGAACGTCGCGTTCGGGAAGTGCGCGATGCAGAATCTCGTCGGAAGTCTGGACAATCCTTGAATCGAAAACGGTGTGTGATACTTATGAAAATCTTGACCCCTCTTTTGAATTTAAGAAGTTCTGAAAAATTACTGTACAGTAAGAAGTACGAGGTAACTTACTTCAGTAAGAGGTAACGTTTCCGGTGTAATGCAAATTTTGAAGGAAAAATTATGCATTTTTCGGTCAAGGCGTCGAAGATGAATTTAGTTCTTTCAATCAAAAAAGTGTAAAAATCGATCATGACTTTTTTTAAAGTTTGCCTTCTGATCTATCTAACCTATTAATGCTACTCGCAATGATAATAGAAGGAACTGAGGAGCACGATATAACTGGGGAGGACTTACATGCAGAAATGATGATTCCATTGTGAATGCCAGCGTTATTTACCCTCACTAAAACGATTTTTCATCGTAGCGAACACTTCCAGAATGTATCGTATCATTTACGAGTTCATATTCTCGCAGTATCTTGTTGTAGACCCCTTTTTTCTCCCGTATGGTCTTGTAGCAGGTGTAAACTTGAAATTTCACCAATTAATATGTTCGACCTTGATTCTGTATTCGTGCAGAATCGAAGTGCAAGAAGCAGAGGAAGAAGAAAGGCGTCGACAGCGATTAGCGAGGAAAGAGAAAAAAGCAGACATGCTGAAACAAGATAAGGAGCGCGCTATACAAGATTCAAGATTGATAGCGAACACAACTGCTTCACTTCGCGATCGCTTGCGGTTTGTCTTCGTTTGAAGGAATCCGATTAATTTTCAGTACATTAGTTTTGACTTCTGTATTCTTCGAAAATTCTCAGACGCAGTATCTCTCCGGATACCTTCGACAAAAAAGCAGCAAAGGCAAACGCGCAGTTGCGATTTGTCGGTCGTCCAATGACAGCGTCGTTGCGTCAGAGACCTTCTGGCATAAAATCCCATATTCTTTTGGGTTGAACGGGGATTTCTTCCATGAATATGTTCGTCTGCCTTATTAAACTGCAAGTGAGTAATGAATGCCAAATTGTTGCTCGACTACGTCCCGACTCGCGAGCTATGAAGGCAAAGGGTGTTCGTACATTAGCAGGAGTTGAATTAACTCCCTGGATTAGAGTTTCGAAGTATTGTATCCTGTTCAAAAAATGTTTTTAAAGAGCGTTTCAAATTTTTAGTCATTTGATTTTTTCGGAATTGATTCAAGCAAGTTACGTGTTCCTCCTTGTTTCTTGTTTAAATTCATCCGAGCAAACTTAGTTGCCGAGTCTCGCTGAAAATATTCCGATTTCGTAAAATTTGACGGTGTTCCCTCGCTTAATCGTTGTCAGCTTTGTGTCAGTTTTTCTCTCGAATACTTCCCTGGTCGCAATCAAGGCCATTGGTGTAGTACAAATGATATCAGATGTTATGAAGCTGATCTTCCGTCAGTGTTCTTCGATCGATCTTCTTGATTGTGCAATGAAATGGTGATAGAGGAAGCTAGTCATATTCTACTGGAAAACGAGAGATCTCTTGTTGGGACGTGATGTTTGTTGTGGCTGCTTGTGGAATATTGCCGTCCAAGAATATTGGACGATCTTTGAATGCTTGTGGTGCATGTATGATCCAAGACGTGGAGCGTGATCTGATTTTCTGAATCATCGTGCAATAAAAAAAAGCATCATTACTTGCGCCTTCAATGACGACTTTTCAGTTCAATTGTTTTTTGGGGTAACCCTTTCCCGTACAATATTTTCTGCTCTTGAATGTCCGGGTGCTTTTCCTGTGCAGGCCGACTGTGATAAGGTTATTTCTACTTCGATGCTGTACCGTCTGATTTCAAATATTTGGCATTGTTTATTTGGTGTTCGGAACGAATTGTGTTGACCGTTCCTTAAATATGTCCAACTGAGTTTCGAAGGCTGTGTCGTCTCACGAAACTGACCTACGATGGAAAACAATCGGCGTTGGACAGCTGACTCTGGTGAGAATGGAAACTTTTTCGTTTGAAAATCACTTCATTAGTCGGAACGCGCTTAACTTTCAACGACATCGAAATATTCCTTCAAATTCGATTTTCTGTCTTTTAATCTTCGCATTGGGTCTCAGATGAAGCTACTGTTGAAATGTGTGTCCGTCGTAGTACGGCTCTATCTTATCTGAGTTGATGGTGGGAGAAATAATATATACTATTGATGCGCTCGGCTCTTTTCCTCTGATTCGAGTGTATATTGCCAACAAAGCTCGTGTTTTGAAAAATACATTTCAACTGCTCGTGATGGACTTCGGTGAGTTGGCGTACTTATTCATGTGCGTCCATCGTTTACCGACCAGTAATGTCGTGTGTTCCGTTTAGCTCGATGCAATTGCCATGCTTTTTCCCCGTCTAATTAGTATCCATCCCATTTTTTTCTCAAGTAGGCAAGGCAAGTCCGTTATCATCCGGAAATGTTCGCTATGCCGAGGAAGTTATGGAAACAGTCCGCGGGAAAATGGAGGTACAGTCAATATTTTGCGATTTTTTGCCGGTCTTATCTTGTATCTAAATCTTTTACGCCGCAGGATGCCAAGCAAGAGCTTATGAACCAAGTCGAAGAACAGCTTCAAGATTTGATCAGCGACTGCTTCGAGGAAATCCGGAGTAGATTACTGATCGCTGCGAAAACGTCTCCATCCACATGTCAAGAAAATGAAAATTATTTCAGCGATTTGTAAGTAATTTATTCACTCTGTGAATAAAACTGCCTTGGTTGTCAAGTATCAGAAATTTATAAATATGGTTTTTTTATTTATTATTCTAGGCGCGAAAAGGATGAAAAGCCGAGTCGAAAAAATGTCGATTCCGAGGACTTCCTTCCTCCAAAACAATTCGTTCTACGGGATTCTGTTCTCACTGATTTATTTCGAGTCAGCCACATCCGCACTATTTACCACATTTTCACCGCGACATTGCTGCTTATTGTTGTACAAGCTGTGTTTTCGGAGATTTCGGAAAGGGGCAGGTGAGTTTCAAACTTCAAGTTCTTGCGGAATGCCGATTATTCTCACCTTAATTTCCACCTATATTAAAAACAGAATCAAGGTATGGGTTTAGCATTCTGCTGTTTTCCAGTAACTGACGAAAAGGAGTACATTACCGTATTTCTGGTATGGGCATAATTCAGCTGTGCGTAGATTAGCTTACACTTCGAATTCGTGAGATGTGATATTTTTGAAGAGGACATTTTACTTGAACGCTTGAATCAAATTTTATTTTAGTCTGGACCTTCGCTTCGAAATGGTTTGGTGGACGTTTGGAAAGTTCTCGTCAGTCATGCTCATATGGATGTCAATGTTCTCAGCGACGTGTGCGCTCTTCGTCGTTTTCTCCTTCTGGGCATCGCAGCCAGCGTTGCAGACTTGTAGGTTATTGGTATATTTTCTACAAAATCGAAGATTGCATTTCCAGAAGTTCTGTCCAGATAAATAGTCATCGTAGTTTTGAAGACTTCGGAGAGTAGAAGTCATGCATAAACTTGCAACCTCAGAAGCAAAAATTTCGGGTCTTCTGGAAAAGAACCGGTTTTTTCGAAGTTTTTTTCTTCTTTCATTCTTAGCGGTTTGGAGACTAGCCTTCTTCGTAGCATTCCTACATTACCTGGGCGCATTCTTGTACTACCCCGTTTCGTACCTTTTGGATCATGATCTTCCGGTTGCCTCTTCGTTCATTGTTCTGATGGAACAGGTCAGTGCTTTGTCATATTAATCCTAAAATATTTGAAAAATAATTTACTGTAATTCAAATCGCTGATTTCTGTGAGGTAGTTGATATCCGGGGGCGTGTACAATTTAAAATGTCTGTGCTATGTAAATTCACGTGTATCATGCTGGAATGAATGTACGGGTATTGATTTCTTTCAGACCAGGCTATTGATGAAGTCATACGCCTTCGTAAGATATAACGCTTCCAAGGTTTCCTCCTGGTATGAATCCAAAGATCGGACATCAACCTTGACCGAGAAGACAAACATTGAACCTAGCGGCTCGGTTGAGCACGGACCTGGTCTCGATTTTTCATGTTTTCTCTACTTCTTGTTCGCGCCGACGTTGGTGTACCGCGATTCATACCCCCAGTAAGAAACAGAATTCTAATTTATTATATTTTTGCTCTCGTTAAAGATAAATTTGGCGAGAGTTATGACCAAACGCCGTCTAAAGTCTGCACTTTAACACTGTTTCATATGAGTGCCTCAGTTCTGTTGCGTTTCTTTCGGTTCAGAACAGGTTAGGTCGCGTGTCTTGTTGGAATCAATGGGGTTAATTGCTTGTGTTGAGCCAAGTTCGGAATTTATGTGATGAGCACTCCAGAAACTCTCGCATATATCTGCCTGGGTAAATTCCTCAAATTACTGCAAATTAATCTGTATTATTTATTTGTTCAGTTTTTGGTGAGGTAATTCTAGCCGCGATCTTTTTTTTTTGAGAAGTGTTGAATGATTTTGTGAGTGTGCTGTATTTTTTATTGTGTGAATATGATTTTCCAGAACGAAGAAAATACGATGGAGCTACGTTTTCTCAAATTTCATGCAAGTTTTCGGGGTGATCGTGGCGTTGTATTTCGTCTTGACGAGGGAAATTTTCCCTTTGCTGAAGGATAGCAATGGTGTTCAGCAACTGTCAGTCGCCAAGCTTATGCATTTTGGATTCAAAAGCGTGATCGCTTCAACTTTCTGTGCGCTCACATGCTGGTTTGGACTATTACATTCTTGGCAGAATGCATTTGCTGAAATGCTTCGGTTCGGTGATCGAGAATTTTACAGCGTAAGGATCTTGTTAAAGTTGAAGGAATATTGATCTTTTCTTTGATTTTTGACGGATGTTTCGGTGTAGCATCTTTTTTTATCACTTACGTTTCGCGTCGCTGATTTTTCCTCGATTACTCTCACGCAGTTGTTGAGTCATACTTGAAATTTTACTGTTGAATTTGCAATGTTCACTATTTTGAGATCCATTCTCGTAGTTTTCGCTATTCTTACGAGGAGAGCTTTGTAATCATGTATAATGTGCTTTTTGTTTTGATTTCCGCATTCATTGGTTTCATGATTTATTATTCAGGATTGGTGGAATTCAACGTCGTATACACGGTATTACCGGAAGTGGAACATCGTGGTGCATGATTGGCTGTATGAGTACATATACCGTGATGTTTACGCCCTTCGTTTGAATCCGTTCAACCTTGGACGAAGATTCGTTCCGACAGTTGTGGTATTTTTCGTGTCAGCGCTGTTCCACGAGTACATTCTCAGTTTCGCTTGCAGGTTTTTCTACCCTGTGTTGCTGGTCATGTTTGGCGGATTTGGATGTGAGTTCTACATTTTATATTTCCGTTATTCACCATTTTGTGTAATTAATCATCTGCGTCTTTGGTTGAAGAAACTTGAGGTATGTAAATTAGTGGTAAATTTTTGAAATTTACCATAAATTACTGTGCTTCCAAATTCGAAATCGTGTGGTCACCCTTCTTTTGAATTATATTCTGTGTAATTTCGCAAAACTAGTGTTTTTTTCTGTTGATGTAATGAGAGGATCCATTTCTTCCGCAGTTGGATTCATGTTCCTGCCGAAGTCAAAAAATTCGAAGAGCTTATTTTCCGTGCTGTGGAACATTTTTTTGTGGATGAATCTCATGCTGGGCTTTGGACTCCTGATCATCACATATTCCATGGAGTTTCTCGCTCGGAATTCATATCCTGTGACGACAGTGAGTTTATTTTCGATTCCCAACCATTGAAATTCGAGCATTGAACTGGACATCTTGATGACGCAGGAAAATATTTTTTGGGATTACCTGCTGCCGAGGTCTTGGCACTGTTCGAAGAACTGTGGTGAAACAAGTGGCTCGAATTAACTATCGTGCAAATGATTGAAACGCTGCTGCTTGCAGAGCCGCTCTTTCGGTACTTCCAAGGTGCAAAATTCTCAGTGCTCCACTTTTTTTGCTGTTACTGCGATTTCTGTGGAAAAGGTGCGAAATGTTCGCACTGCATTCGAATTTATCTCAGTAATTAAGAATACTGTATTTTATTAGAAAATTTACGCGTTACGTCAGTATTTCGGCATTTGGGTATTCTTGAGCCGTATCACTCAAATGCTTGCCATTCCAATCAAGGCTCAATTAGTAATGAACTACGTACTGCCGAATTTTCCAATTAGTCGACTCGGTCTCAAATGGTTGGACTGCAATTGTTGCCGGGCACGTTATTCTATTTTTTGTGTAAGATTTGTGCCTGGAAATGTTTGACGGAAGGTTGCAATATTTTTTTCCGTTTCTCCTGTGAGAATTGGATTGTCGATGAGTTCAATTAGCAGGTGATGGCGAATTTTCCGAATAAATTCTGGGACGGTTTTGAGTTGGATGGCTTAAATTTTTTCCGATTCTGTCCAGTTGGTTCCGGGACGATCATTCTGCTCTCACCTCTGCCGAGAAGTCATTTTCTCTATGAAGAAATGTTCGAAAGCGACACTGCTAAATGCAGAAAGTTTGTTTTAATCAACTTTCAAAATTAGAGAAAACCCCCCCCCCCCCACTCACACACACACCCCAAGAAATGACTGGAAAGAATGAATTTGAATGCGTAAATCGTCGTGGACATTCAATCATAAAGTACCAAAAGCAAATTGTATTTATCCGTAGCATTTTTGGCCTGAGAAAAGGCCGAAATTCAATCTACGTTACGTTATTCAATGGCTCTACGTATTTACGTATTCAATGCCTGAGATAGCAGAAGACAACATATTCATTACCTGAAATTACCTGAAATAGCAAATCCGGCAGCGAACTAATATTTTTTTCTGAGGATCATCGAATGCTGATTTTTCTTCCAGGAAGTCAATTTCCCTCGAAATTGTAATGGGTGAACCAGAGGTAGAATGTCGCGAATTCGAACGTGAATTGGAGAAAATTCGTCAACGAAGATTACATCACATTGGTGAGTACGAAGCCTTGATGAAACTCCCTGCGCCGGACGTGGACGTGTTCCATCGTGATCGAGAAGTACGAGCCGCTACGAAGATACAGTCAGTTTGGCGAGGACGTTACGTTCGCAAGCAATACTCTCCCTTGTTGCTGGAGCAAGAACAGCTAAAGACTCGATCTGCGAAGAAACTTCAGAAATTTTTCAAAGCCCGGGTATTGGATCCTCGCCGGAAAGCTGCTTTTGAATTTCGATTCAACGATGATTTCGTGTCGGAAGCCGAGAAGCAAACGCGGGATCAGCCGTCGATTCATCGCACCATCGAGTACATTCAAGACGAGTTGAAGCAAGAGCCGGAAATTATTCGAAACGTTTCCGATATTAACCAACGAGTGAACGCTGCGTTTTCCGCGATGGACATGTGCGAAGATAGAATGAGAAAACTGAAGAGGCTTCAAAGTGATTTGTCGTGCGCAACGAAAACTCTGCGAATGATCGCAGAGAATCCTCAGAAATTTCCGGATGAGAAATCTGCTCGTTGGCTGAGATCCGGTTCTCAAGTGTTTCATAATGTCGCTAAGCTAGAAAACGATAAGGTCGTGCGAAGTATGATGCGACGGTTCGGCTTGTTCGATCGCGTTATCAAAGATATGACTGGCGGTCAGGACGAGTGTGACGATTTAGTTTCTCCCATTCAGATTTGAATTCGTGTTCATCAATTTTCCATTCGTCTGAGCTTTTTTGTTCATGCTGCAAGGGAATCATTTTGAAAGTTTTTTGGACGGGATCATAAGCATCACTTCGAAGTAAACTACTGTACAGTATACCCTTTGAATTGCTGTTTCGGGTCAACTCAAATCTAATTAACCAAGCCCACAATTTTTTACTGGAAAGCATCCTTGCCGCATGAGTCACTGAACGCGTCAGCCAGACTTTCTGGGATCTCACAGTGTTTCCGTAACATGTGGTGTTTTTTTTGTTGTTGTTTCGATGGCCTCCGAGAAATTTATTGATGTGCAAGTTTGAAACTGCAATTCTTCCGAATTAATTTAATTTAAATGGACGCGAAAGTCCTATACAGATCAGAAAAAATGTATTCAACCCAGGTTCTTTTTCTCACGTTTTTTTGCCAATTTTTGAAGGCGGACAATTTTTTTTTCATTCAAGTGAGTATTTTGAAATACATTGCATAAACCAATTAAATCGTCTTCGTATTTCTTCATAAAATGATCGCCATTTTTAAAGATATTTTTGTGCAACGATATTCTCTGATCAACCAATTGTTTTTTCCTTCTTCCAATCTTCTTCGAAGCGATTTCTGCACATTTGCAATGCAACCAAGAAGTTACTAACGGAAAACAAATCTCAAGTTACGGAAAATGATTTTCTGAGTTCGAGTTTTAAATTCATCAAAAATCCACATCTTCAACTTACTGGTAATCTTGCTTATGAAACAAGAAAATCATCTATAAAATTGAATTGAAATTCCCTGATCGAATTGCTGCGGAGTTAATGAAATGCTGTGCTTGAAACCTCTTTGATACAGACATCTTTTATTGCTGAAATATGCTGTACTGCTACACATTTTCTTCGAAAGAAGATATTCCAGCGTAAAAATGTGTTCTACGAACAAATAAGTGAGAAGGAGGATTAATTTTGCTGTGCTAATTAAATTTTAAAATGTATTATCTGTATATCTGACCCTTGATTCCCTGCGTTGATTACCAGTAATTTAAAACAGAAATTAAAATATTGACAATTCTTCGCGTCGAATTAATTGTGCTTCTCGGATTCTGTTTCATTTTCTTGTAAATTCAAGGTAACGTTCATTTTTATTATGCATTAAATCAAGAAAAAAAACAAGTGAGGTTGAGGCATCGATAAATATTTCGCTGATAATTTCGAGTGTGAATTCGAGATGGAAGAAAAGTCGATCATATACCCCTCCAACGTTAGAGAAAATGCGGTGTACTTCCAGGGTTTTTTTTTCACCTTTGCGGCTTTTTTAATTTGTATATACGCTCACATATTTGTCCTTGTTCTCTACAGCACTAACTGAAGCATGCAAATTTTTACGCATGTCACTCCCAGCGCCGTTTCCAAAATCTACTTAATTACACGTGCCATCAGACAAATTCTGAAGGTTTTTTTCATTTTGCTTCCGAATAAGAATAAGCCCGTTTGTCCGTTTTATTTATATTGCCCCACCTAAAAACCGAATGCAGAAGTCGGAAAACTACGCTTTTCTTCAAACTTTCCTATAGTTAAGAAG